GGGGTAGCAGTGTCGATCCCTGCTGTTCTGGCCTGGAGGTGGTGAGCACCCCTGCATCTCGCAAACTATTGCGCTTTGGGCACGAGCCTTTGCATCATTACCAGCTCTTTTGCACGGTCTCGTGGACAAGGTGCCTGGTCTAGCTTCCTGGGGGTTGACCATGGGGGACCAGGACAGCGCAGCTAGGTCCGTTGGTGATGAGCGCCACGGGTCAAAGCGCACTGCGACAGTGAAGACGCTAAACAGCACCGCTAGGACTTGAGAGTACAGGGGCCGATTGGCTACAAGAAAAACCGAGGACGAGTTTGGTGGCAGAGGCCGCTATGAATTCTTGGATATTTACGGCCTGGACTCGGACAGTGGGGACGAGGGTTCAGATGATCGTAGTGTCAAGCCGTAACGTTTCAATTAAGGTATTGCACTGACAGGTCTAGATGAGGAAACATCTTGGCAAGAATTGAGGTCAATTTGATTGAAGTTTAATGCGGAAAAAAACAAGCTTACTACTGCGGAATTGAATACGAATAACACTCTAAACTAGACTAATTATCGCGCTGCCTTGAAATCAACTCCTCCAACCCTATTGACCACTCCCGCTCGGTGGTAGTAAGTACTAGATCTAACGTATGGATCCAGCTTCCAGTAGTTCATCTGTAGCAATTGAATCAATTCATCTCGCCTCTCGTGCGCTTCCTTGCCAGCGTCTGTATCAGGATCTGTACCGATCCAATCAACAGTCGATCGATTGAACGAGTCAATCAATTCCTGTCGCTCAATCTGTATCTTTATCTTCTTCTCCTCAGACTGCATCCTCTCGTTCTCAGAGGGGACGGGCTCTACATATTTGTACTCCCAAGGATCTTCACCACCATAAGACTTCTGTAGGTTCTCTTTGGCGATGAACTTGAGAAGGCCCTTGGTACCGCTGGTGAAGTGGACCTTTGATGCGACGACAGGGTCGAGCCAGTGCTTGATGACGGTCCAAACACCTGGAAAGGATTAGCATGTAAATAAAGTTGGAGGTGGCAGAGTGTCAAGCTTACCCCAAAAGACGAATGGCGCATTGTGCACAAGCACTACCGAGAGGGTTTCGGGGTACCGCTTCTCAAGAATATCGACGAGGAATTTGACGACGTGAAAGTCCATGTTGCGAAGACCAAAGCCTGTGAGATCAAAGATCAAGCAGACCTTGTCTTGCGGCTCTCTTGCCATCACCCTCAACGTCTCGATATTGTGCAAGACATATTCTTCCATTGCCTCGGCAGATTGTTTGTGAGGATCGTGAAGGCGAACTCTGATGACATAGATGGGATAGTTGTCCTTGTCTGTTCCTCTGACATAGCTCTTGCCTGAGCGATACTGCGCCATGAATGACTCCTCATCGGTAGTGAGGGACTTCTTCAGACCGATAGCTTCACCGCCTCCGATAATGGTCTTCTGAATCTGTCGCTCATCGCGCCAGTTGAGAGCAGAGACAAACATGTCAACGGCCTTGTTGACATCCCAGTCGCGCGCTCGAAGAAATCGAAGGAGCGTGGTGTCGGGATGATCGGCCATGATCGACTCCCAGAGATTCCGTGAGAAATGATCGGAATCTTTGTTCTTGAGGTTTTGAAGGTATTCGTCTGTGTTGTCTGGGGCATCATGGGCGATATTCTCATTTCCACATAATCGCAGAATATGGACCCAAGCCTCTTGGAGGCTCTTCTTTTGCTCAAGGGTGAGGTTGCCCCTGGTGCCTGGCTCAGCAGATGAAGAAGACATTGTGATATCGAGTGTGCTGACTGATGAGAATGAGTGATTTAGAAAGCAAGTAAAGAGCTCGTTCATGAAGAACTTACAATGTGGTAAACTTCGATTTTCAAGAAGTCGTCTAGTTATCTGTCTTGCGATGAAACAAGCAATCATGAAACGAATCACGGCGTCGTTGACATCAGCAACGTGAAGATGGGCTTCCTCGGCATGGAGTGGAACTGGATGGACTAAACTAAACTAAACTAGAGCTGCGATGATCAATTTGGGGACAGGTCGGAAGGTGGTCCTGAATTGGGAAACGAGCAAAAGAGCGCTATGACATTCCTAGATTGTGCCCATCCATCTCGTCCTTCGGCAATGCGATGCTCGCAAGCCATGGCATCTGGGGCTAATGCACCCCGCACGAGAAGGCCCCAGAAGGCCCCAGACGGGAGCCAAAAGACGTCACACGCAAGCTTTACCGGATTGCGGGGGGGTTTGTTGCGCTATTTGGGACTGAAGCTGGGAAATTGGGCATCTCGATCGAGTTTAGCTGAGGGGATCGTGGTTTTGATGCGTGGATTGGTGAACTGAGATGCTGAACTGGCGTGAATGTGGCTGATTCTTGACAGTTGAGCTATCACTCCCATTCACCCCACGTTAGTAACTGTCCATGCATGCACATCGCACAGACTCGATTTGGAATCGACAGGCCTGAGAGTCTACGAGTCAAGCAAACTATCGCTTCCTTAAAGTTCTGACCGACATCGACCACTTTCACTTCTTTTATCGATCCTAATTTGGGTCACTCTGATCAACCCTCTTCGGTCGATTTCCGTTATCTTATTGTCGTGGCTGTCGCGAGGCTTGCGAGCCTTGGCCACCTTGAGAATAGGCTACCCTGAAGTCAACAATCCGCTGCCAAGCGGTACGTGATTTCATTTACCCCAGGTCATTTCTTTGGAGGGTTCCGTGGCGATAATACGTACCTAACATGCATCGATTGCTGGACAGTGAAAAACATAATCAACATATTGGGTTTTGGATGTGAGCTTATTGGTAGTAGAGTCTATCGTCAACCGTGAAGATGATGCTTGGTTGGATAGTCCAGTGTTTTTGATTGTTCGCAATGCTTTTCTTTTCGCAACCTTTTTCACCCATAACTGGATTATGATTCCCTTGTTAAGTTGCATGAGACTATCTAATTTGGTAATTATATATTCCGAGTTCATAAGCAAGGAGATGTGATTCATTGTACAAGATGTTTTGATGAAAATGATATACTCTAGGGTATCTCGGACAACCCAGGACTCTATGAGTCTAGGGATATATTACAATATTCACATGGACCTATAGAATTGTAGGAAACTCCAGTAGACATTATACAAGCTTTTATGAAAACCCAAGTGTCTTAGGGAAACACTTACTTAAGTTAGGAATGAACCGAGATAGGTCAAAAGATCTTTGTAACACATCGCTACATATCATACTCTCCAAGTCTCGCAAATACTCAAAGTTCATTTCAAGTCAAGGCATTTCAAGAGCAGAAATATATTCTGTGTCTATCTACATCAAGTCAGATTTGAACTCACACTCATACTTAGAGAGCTTCTTCCTGCCAAAAGGGCTGAGTGAATCAAGAATCATGGAGTTCAACCCAGTACGCGGTTTCGTCTTCCTAGCTGCATGCAGCAAGTGGCCGAGTCCACCAGGATGCGAATATAAAGAATGTAGAATAGGAGATAAAGGACCTGATATCTAAGTGAGTTCCAGCAGGCAACCAAGCCACTTCATCAGGGCCGATACGTGAAGAGTCAATGTCACTTACCATGACCTCGATATCCATCAAACGCACAGAAGCAGTGGTCAACGTCCAGGAATTAAATTCCACCAGATAGAACTTGAGTATTCAAGTGGCCAGACCCTTCGAGAGCAGCCAGACTCTATGCCCTCCCACATTTAGCCCCAGCCACATATGGACAGACGATTGTGTAGCCGAGAACAGCACTGGCTCCGGTGTAGTTACGGAGGAAATATGGCTTCTGGCAGCCGGACTGTTGGTTTTCTGAATCGCCCCCAGGCTGCGGCTCAACTAGCTGGTGGTCCTACATAGGGATTACGTCAAACTCGATCATGGCATTTGCGACGCTAGAGTTGAGCTTTTCAGTAGCCCGTGTCAAGCCCGCATTTGGCCATATCGGACCGGTATATGGCTCACCAAGACCCCGGCAACATATGCTTGAAGTTACTAGTATGATGAGGAAAGACCTGGGTATCTTAACTTACTTGAGCCACACTGGCGTAGTCTCCAGAGCTGAGGATAATGCAATGATCATTGAGTAAGACCTGCCACTTGCCCTTGGCGCAGAGGATGTCATGGTGGGTATGTTTGTGATAATGAGTTGGTACAGGAGGGGGAAAGGTTTGGCCACCGCTTGTCATGATGGTGAACTTGCCATCCGTTCATGTTCCAGTCAGAAGGAAAGGAGCGACGGAAGGAGTACCGGAGATGTAAACCTTGTCCCCAGAGAAGCATTTGAAGATATATGATTCTCAGTTAGCAGCATATTTTCCAGCTACTGATGGCGAGAGCACCATGCGCTTAATTCAGTTCATTCATTGCCTAGGAACGCCGAGTATTTATCGTATATCGCTCCTCCACCATGCGTGAACCTGGGGGGGCCAAGCACACGAGACACTTGACAATGCAATGCAACGCACAGAGTTGTCGGATGCAGGGCTTCCCAGAATATCTGTGCTCGCATTAACTTCATCATCGGTATCGGCGCTTGCTGCAGTAGCGAAATACGACAAAACTGACATCTACAGTCTGATAACCGATGAGCTCTTCCAGAAACACGTCCAACAACATCGCCATTAAACGGAGGTTTCGAGTCCGCCTTGCTCGGCTCGGTCTTCAAATCGGCCTTCAAATTGGTCTATCTATTTTGTCCGTGCCGAGAGGACTGTGCTCCGGGGCTTATGGCCCGTCATAGCGGGTCACGAATACCTCTTCCTCGGCGGCAGTCATTCTCGGGATCCGAATTTGGCAATAGTGGCGTTTCAAGGCTCAACGGTTGGCGTTTAGTGCTCATGGTTGCCGTTTACCCACCGTCGGATGTCGGGTAAGGGCGTCATGATATATTCGCAGTTTGGATATATGAAGACGCGAAGGCCATTGCGAAAATTGAGAAAGAAGTCAAGAAGAACTACACGAGTCATAGTTTATTCAGAGTACAATACTAGTCAGTCAACCGTCTTTGGAAATGGACCAGCCCACTTCAGTTCCCAGCTCAATTGCTGAAAGCATTGAGCCAACCTTGGGCATTTACCTTCCGCTCCTCAACAAGAACTCAACTGCCATCAAATCAACCCTAAGAAAAACATTCTCCTATGGCCCCAACCCCCGCAACAACCTCGATATCTATTATCCTGCCAACAGTCCCACCGGGGCTGGGTGCCCTGTCTTCATCTATACATATGGAGGCGGCTTCACTCGAGAGACAGAGTCTCTGAAGATCATCTACTCTACCGAAACCTTGGGCATTTCTTTGCTGAGAAGTGCGGGTTCGTCATTGTCATTCCGGATTATCGCCTTGTTCCAGAGGCGAGATTTCCTTCCGGTGGACAAGATATTGAGATGGTTGTAAGTGGCTCATAGACAACAATGACAAGATTGGAGGTTCACAGCCAAGACCGTTGTTCATGATGGGCAACTCTGCGGGTGCTGTTCATCTTTGTACATTCTTACTGCATCCTTCGTTTGCCGAGCTTCGCGGCAAGATCACAGGTACCAGCGATACTAGCCCCCTGCAACTCAAGGCTGCGGTCTTCTGCTCGATGCCGACGTCGCTCCGCAAACCTCGCCCCTATAGAGCTCCTGTTCTTGCGAGATACTATGGAGAAACAGTAGAGCAGGATTGTCCCCTCGGACTTCTTGAGGCTTGTAACAAGGACAAGACTGTCTCAGATGCTGCACCAGGGGTCCAGTTCCTTTTACTTTATGGCTCCCTCGACCCCGAGGATGAGATTTTGGGTTGCAACAAGGTGTTTATTGAGCTTTGGCGATCAGGCAAGGGAAGCTCGGGTGTAGAGCTCGAAGTTCAAGTTATGGAGGGCCACAACCATATCTCGTCCCCACCAGCTCTCGGCACCAATATTTCGAGAGAAGAGGTCTGGGGTTTTAATGTTGCTGGATTTTGCAACGCGGCAGTTCGAAGTTGAGATGAGATTTTGATCTCAATCGATCATGGTATCAAAGAAAGCAGTAGAAGCACCGATAGGTTTGGAAGTTGATTGGAATACTCGGATAATAAGGATGTAGCCGGCGACTTCCATTCTGCCAAATATGTACGTGAGAAATAGATATATACAATTGAACCGTTTCCTTGAGCATCCTTCTACCACCAACGCTTTATCCAACTAGGGCATTTCGTTCCCCGATCCAGCGACATACATCAGCAACAGCTTACAGAGCGTTGACCAAGGCATTGAAAGCAGCCTTAGGCTGGTAGTTGGTGTCGTACAGGAGAGGGTTATCACTAGCTCGCCACGAATCCTTGTCAGAGACACCCCAGACGGTGATGCCTACACACTTGGAAACAGCAAGGCAACCGTTCATGACAGTAAGGTAATCGCTAGCACTGGCACCGGCAATATCAAGCTCAGTAATAGCAATCTCCTTGACGTTTGAGGCAGCAAGGGCTTTGAGAGCATTGGGGACGCCAGAAGCTGGGTTCCAGCCACCAGGAGCAGCAAGATGGCACTGAGAACCAATGCCATCGATGGGAATTCCGGCAGCAAGCCACTTGTTGACATGAGCGACCATGCCGTTGGTCACCTTAGCGTAGTTGGCAATGTCGAGGTTATAGTCGTTGATGTAGAGCTTGGCATTGGGGTCGGCGGCGCGGGCAGCGCGGAAAGCAATGCCAACAAAGTCCTCGCCAAGAACTCGGCTGAAGACACTGTCGCGGAGGTTGCCGTCCTCGGCGAAGATCTCGTTGACGACATCCCACTGGAGGATCTTGCCCTTATAGCGGGTGACCATGGTAGTCACGTGGTTCTGAATGACCGAGGTGAGGGTGGCGCGGTCGTTGATGTTTTGGACCCACTGAGGCAGCTGGGAGTGCCAGAGGAGAGTGTGGCCACGGATCAGCTTGTTGTTCTGAGTGGCGAAGTTGACAACCTGATCAGCGTTGCCGAAGCTGAAGGAGTTACGCGAGGCTATTCATTGTCAGACCGGCATTAGTTCGGTATGGTGAATGGAACCTTACGCTCAATGGCATCCCATTTCATGCTGTTCTCGCACGTCACTTGGCCAAACTGGGCCTTGACAATGTTGATCAGGGCAGTGTTGCTCAGGTGGTAGTAGTCGATCTCAGTACCGAAGTACTGCTTACCCTTGGCCTTGAACTTGGCGTCAAGGCCAGTGCCGCCAGCGCCACTAGTAGGTTGAGTGGTACCACCCTGGGTTGTTGAAGAGGGCGGGGGATCAGATCCTCCAGATCCTGGAACACACTGAGAGTAATAGTCGTTGATCTTTTGACACGTGAGACCACTTTGGCAAGTTGTAGCACCGGTCCAACCAATACCACCACCTGTGAGAAGTTTTAGCTTTCGAGGGTCGACTCATCGGAGTTGTTGTAACATACACTGTCCCCAGACGGGAGACTGGGCCAGGGCGGACACGGGAGCGAGAGCGAGCAGAACTGAAAGGGTATGCATCTTGAATAGTCTCAGTGAGGTAACCCTTGGAAGTTGAAGATACTGTCTGAAGATATCGAACGCAACGTCAAGGGGTTACTCCCATCCTTATATATAGCTTTGATATAGCATTCAACATGGTATATTTGCTCCCGGCTCTACATAATCGTGACTTCTGACCAATCCGATCGATTCCATCGTGTTTTGCCGGGAAATTGGCATACCTAGGGTTATAGAGCCTTATGTGCGGAGAACCAAGCTCCGAATGAGGCCCATTGAGGAAATATCGGAGCATCGCCATGTTTGTCGTCAACGCCCTAAACAGAAAGCTGCGATGGTGTCCCCCGCAAATATGGGTCGTCGTTTAATTGTGCAGCGGATAATATTGTTTTGAGATCTAGACTTACTACAAATTGGGGAGAGTTTCTTAATGCCTGCTGATATTACGTCCCTTTCTGGGACTAGATGCCAAGCTGGGGGTTGTAACATCAAAATTGCTGTTCGGAGGTCTGCGGGGAATGGATCGTGGATTTAGCCGATCACTGAACGTTTTCCTCTATTGTTTGAAGCTTTGCTGGATTTGACGTATATTGGCAATATTATAGCATGATCCGATTAGCGACCATGGCAAAGACACCCGACATTCCGAACCATTTAGTCTGCCTATGCCTAGCTCAAACTAACCACATACCAGAATACGGAGACAGTTACCGAGTAAGTTATTGTGGGCGATAGAGTCGATATGTTTATGATGACTGTCTCTCCAACAACCTTCACTCGTCCAGGCGAGCACTTGTATCGAGGAAAGTTAAGCTTACTTGGTTAGCCCTCGCCGTGGCTCATCGTAAAACTATCTAATGCAGATGAATGCACTGTCTTGTCTATTCTTCGAACGTCAATGAATTTCCATGTCTCTTGCCGAGCCTGCACAGGATTGGGTTAGGTTGCATCCAACTCCAACGAAGGATGCTCAGGATGCCATTTAGGAACCGATTTGGCAGAATTGGATCAGCTCGTCCGGCTAATCACCGACAACCCTTAGAAATCTGACATCCACGTGGTGGTATGACTGCTGGACTCCAGGCGCTCCTATGGATTGAAGCCAAGAGCTGGACCTTTCTATGCGCGCAACTTAGATCGCATTGAAGGTCGCAAAGGAGGGTGTCCATGGGTGGTGATCTTTCCTAATTTCAATTACTCTTGAGGCGAAATTGAGAGCGTATGGTCACACTCCGTCGTTAATGTAAAGTCACCGTAGTCAAGGAACTTGTACGTCCATAAACCATGTTGAGTACAGCTTAGATGAAGCTGTTCGTAAGTCAGATGATATTGTTCATATCTTAGACCAGGCATCATTTATAGCTACACGTAGGGGATAAAATTAGAATGACGATGTGAGAATAACTATAGTTATTCTGTATAGTTGCAGTTGAAGAGCTTAATGGAACTGTGGATATGGTCTGATGTTGAACTGCTTACATACTCTTCCGTCTCCGCTTCAGGTACCGGCGATGCACTTCCCGCTTACTCAGACTTGTACCAGCTCTCGCTGGGTCCACGATGGAACTGTTAGCATGAACCGTGTAATACGACTGGTTAAGAGCCCCTCTAATTGCTTCGGTAACATTAGATCTATTCCTACGTAGAATGAGTTCATCACGGTGATTCTGCTGCAGAGCGACAGAAACAAGTTGGTATTTACTAGCGTTGAACGAAAGCCTATTCTTGATACATATGTCTATCATCACAGATACTCCAATCCAGTTGAGATATCTCCCCATCTCGCTCCAGCCATATCCGCAAAGTAATTCGACTTGGGACTCCACAAACCAGTACCGCCCTTGGGGAACACAGAGCTAGCAGTCTTGAGATATGTAGAAGACAAGCTCATCATTGGCTTCACTGGCATACCACTTGATGAAGAAAGACGTGGAACCACGACGCTGGTCTTGCTCTGAGACATCTTCTTCAGAATACGAACAAACAGTCTCGCACTGACATCTGCGCCAAGTGTCCACGACGCATTCTCATATCCGAACATGAACAGCAGGTTTGGTACATCCTGGAGCATCACGGTCTTCCAGGCGAACTTATCGGCGACGTTGAAGGCGACGTCATCGATGCTGAACTTGATACCTCCACCGAAACGGACCTTGAGACCAGTTGCTGTGACGATAAGATCGGGATGTAATGAAGCTCCAGACTCGAGCTCAATGCTCTTCTCAGTGATAGTCTTGATCTTATCCGTCACAACATTCGCTTTACCCGAGCGAATAGCTGCAAAGAAATCGCCATCCTGGCTGGCGCAGAATCGTTGCTCCCAGGGGTTATATCGAGGCTTGAAGTGAGGATCCCAGCTGACGTCAGGAGGAAGATTCTTGATGGTGACATATTTGATGAGCTTCTTGGCCAGACCAGGGCAAGATTTGCAGAACACGTTGGTAAGATAGCTTCGGACCAGCCAGAGGAGTCTGTTAAGGAAAAGGGCGATGCTGGCGGGGAAAACAGTCAAGAGAAGACGTGTGAAGAAGCTGCTTGATGGGAGAGGGAAGATGTAGCCGGGACTTCTCTGCAGCATGGTAACGCGCTTGGCTTTGTCGGACATGGATGGGAGAATTGTGACAGCGGTAGCTCCACTGCCAATGATGACAACCTCCTTGTTGGTGTAGTCGTAGTCCTCAGGCCAGAATTGAGGGTGGATGACCTTGCCTTGGAACTTCTCAATTCCAGGAATCACAGTCTGTAGCGGGGTCTGGTAATCATAGTAGCCAGTACCGAGGAGCATAAATCGGCTGCGGAAGGTAACAGGCTTCTCGTCACCAGGTCGTGTAACCTGAAGCTGCCATCGCCTCTCCTTAGAAGACCAGTTGGCTTCTGTAACAGAGTGCTTGTAGCAGATATGGTGGTCGATACCAGTCGATCGTGCCGACTCGATCATATAGTCCTTGATTTTGTCGCCCGGTGCGAGTGACTGGTCATGCTTCCAGGGACTCCATGGGAAGCCAAAGGTGAAGATATCAGAGTCGGATCGAATGCCAGGATACTTGAAGAGATCCCATGTGCCGCCGATGGAGTCGCGGCCTTCGAGGATGGCGTAGGTCAAGTCGGGAGGGCCTTCTGTTTGGAGACGGTAGGCGGCGTTGATGCCGGAGATGCCAGCGCCGATGATGATAACATCAAAGGTGTTGGGTTCTTCTGATTGCGGTGCCATGCTGATGAATGTTGTCTGAGTAGTATGTGTTGTTGATGATGCTGTCCACAATGGACGTTGAGGTCCTATTTTGTACAAAGACGACAGTGAAGGAGTCTGAGTGATTGACACTCCGTTGGATCAATAAACAGTCCGCGGGCAGACGAAAGATATGAAGCCTCGGTACTTTAACAGTAGCAATCAGGGTCTCGCGTCAGAGGTCCTCAAATGAGTAGCTAAGTTCTGGTTAAGCTTCCGAGTCCGACAGGCGACAATATGAACCCATCCGTCCGCCCCCGCGGGACCCGTCTCCGATAAAGAGCCAAATCTTTCATGACAACTAACTAAGGGAATAACGTCATGCCTGAGCTTTGACTGGGGGGCGAGCGGCGAGCCAAAGTGTTGATCGCAAGCTAAACTCCATATAGAAATATCGCGTTGAGGGTTCTCAAGATTGTGGGGTAGCCTCGGCATGACCCCCAGTGATCGTCTTCATGGGGGGAGACGCCAAAACTACCAAGAGCATCACGCGACGGACGAGACAAGACTTGTCAAATCTGCAGAGCTGATCATCTTGGCTCCGAAGAGGGGTCGATCACTGAAACAAATGACGAAATTGTTTCGAGGTTAATTAGAAACTTACATGTGAAATTTGTTGAGCTATGGAGATCTTGTACAAAGAAACTTCGATATCCTTCTGCCTCTGTCTGACCCGCGCCCTCCATCACGAAAAAAGAGATTATGCATAGCTTCTTAGATTCAACCCCGCACGATGGTTCAAGAAACGCCTCGCATGCTCAGCTGCCTTTTCTGCCTCGGCTGTAAAGTCAATCCTGTCGCCGAGCAGGATAATATCATGAGGGCAACCTTCCGAGATGTCCAGGTACATTGGCCAACCATTCTTTTTGTAGCGTGCGACAAAGTTGGTGATGTCGTCGCATAGAACTTCGCCGCCACCGGCGTTGACGTAGACTGGGAAAGGCTTTTCAATCTGGAAGGGATGGCGTAGAGGGGACAGGTATGGACTGGCTGGGTCAATTGCGCCAAAGCCAGAGACTGTCGTTGCGCCCCAGCGCGCAAAGTGCATGTTGAGATAGTCCGTCTTGTAGTTGGGTGATTGCGATGCATCTTGTTCCAAAGCGCCAGCGACATCAGTCCAAGGTGACCAAAGAGCCATTGCGCGGGGAAATGGGACCTCGTCAATTTGGCCGTACTCGTGGATGTAGCGTACCAAGGCGAGAGCTAAATTTGCGCCAGCTGAATCGCCAGAGAAGATGATCTGGTCGGCAGGAATGCCTCTTGTCTTGATGAGATGAAGATATGCTGTAAGTGCATCCTGCAGAGGAGCGGGAAACTGCCCATTCTTGCTGCTGGACAGTCGGTAGTTGGGAGAGCAGACATGCGTAGCACCCATATGCTTAATGAGAGTCTTGGCCGTGAAACCCGTATCTTCATCACGACCATTGCCAATTACAAAACCTCCGCCATGAAAGTGCAGGACGACCACCATCCCAGGGTGAACGATGCCAGCCGGCGGTGGGCGCGCGGGCGTCCATGTCATGCCCAACTGTGCAGGCTGAACCGTGTAATCCGAGCAAATTCCTCTGTATAATTTTGGTGATCGGGGAGCGACCACTTCGAATCGGTTCTTCTCTTTGCCCTGGTCAAACCTCATTTTGTCGCCTGATTTGGTGAGAGACCAGTAGAGCAGCAAGAGCCGGACAACGCGGACACGAACAGCTTGGTTCAGCGTCCATTTTCTGTTGGGTCGAAACCAGGGGACGAGACAGAGGGAAACGTCGAACAAAAAGCGCGAAAGAAGCCATGGTGTGATGATAAAGGCGTAGGTATAGCCAAATACTGTTTTAAGTGTGCTTAATACTGCCATGATGGGTGAGTCGTGTGTGTAAGTTGCTGAGGCTGTTGGTGATTATTAACGTGGAGGAAAAGCGGTAGAGCGACGCCGCGGGGCCCGGGGTCTTTAAGTAATTCACCTGCCTCGGTCACCGAACTCACAGCATATTCCCAGTCAAAAAGAGAGTTTCAGTTAATAGTTTACTGATAATTTTCATTTTTTATTACATGCGATTAGTATTCGTGGTGTCATGCGACGGCGTTTCACTGTTCAAAATGCTGTCATGGCGCCTGAATGAGGAATCTTCAGCACGGAGTATGACGGTCGCATTTAATTGTAAGCAAGGCTATAAAAGTACAGAAAAGCTCTCAGATTATCCTAGAATGACAGATTATGTAAATCTATCTACCAGCTTTCAAGATCCAGTCGCCGTCCATTTGTTTTGGTCTTAATTGCCAGCGGTCTTGCCAACGGCATCGCGAACAACCTCCTGCAGCCAAGTTGGCCATCCTCTAATGCCAGAAATAACATCCACGGACTTGGGAATAATTAGTTGACCTCCTCGTCGGCTCTTAATCTGAGCGACAACCTCCTTGGCGATATCATCAGCAGTCAAGAGACGAACACCGCCTCGCTCCAGGCGATCCACGAAGCCCTCAACAAGAGGTGTTCGGACAAAGTTGGGATGGACCACGGTTGTCAAGACATTGGGAGCCTTGTAGAAATGCTTGATCTCACTGGCTAGCGACTCGTGGAAAGCTAGTGCACCAGCCTTTGTAGCAGAGTAATCGGCTCCTGTGGCGAGGGCGACAAAGGATGCGATACTGGCGACGGTGATGACATGGCCCTTGTTCAACTGGATCATGCGTGGGAGGAATTGTTGAGTGGTGTACCACAGAGCCATGAGGTTGACGCCCATGATCTTGCGAAGGAACGACTCTGGCATCTTGAGAATGGGCATGGGGGAAGTGATGCCAGCGTTGTTGATGAGGATTGATGGATGACCGAGTTCTTTGCGCACTGCGTCGGCAGCTTCAGCGACAGACTCGGTTGTGGTAACATCGCATCGATAGAAGTGAACGCGCGAGTTTGTTTGAAGTTGCTTTGGCAGATCTTGAACATCAAAGACGGCGACACGGATTCCCATGGCAGACAGCTTCTCGACAATGCTCAGACCAATACCGCTGGAGCCACCAGTGACAACAGCGATCTCATTCTTCCAGTCCCAACCAGAAGCAGCCGTCATTCGCCATGAATTATGAGCCATGGTATTGAGGAACCGGTTGATGGTTCGAACGATGCCCAAGCTGAGCCATACGTATAGAACCTTCTTGGCGATCGTGAGCTCCAGGGTATGTGAAGCATGCTCTGGGAGCTTGGCGGCGATTGAGGCGAGGGCATTGCTCACGGCGTCGGGTGCAAAAGTCGCAGCGGCGAGCAATGAACCAGAAAGAAGTGGCGATAGAAGGAAGTTGCTCGCATTGGAGACATACGCAATGACGGGAGAGTAGAGCATGGAAGACATGATGATTTGCTTGCACAGGGAAGAATGGTGATTGAGTCTGGTGTGTGAGTCTGAGCCGAATTACTCGATTGCACATGCAAGCAAGCTGCCACTAAATACATCTTATACAAACTAATTAAGCTCCAACGCCTTTCTCTAGCTCCATCGTCAACTGTCACGAGTTGGCAAAGAATGAAGCCGATCACGATGTTGTTGAAGCCGAGGCTAGATTTGCTCGACCAACGACAACTCTTGCAATCGCAAGCTTAACCAGAACAAGCCACAACGACGATCTTTTCTCTTCTCTCCAGTGAATCCACTCTCTCAACGGCACTTGACTCGACCTTGGCCGCGTCCCCCTGTCATCAATCACAACAAAACGCTAAACCCTGTTTCCAGGTCGTTAGTCCAGGCCTCTTGCGGGGTCTACCTCTCTGAACCGAGACACTAATACGTCCGTGCCATGAGAAGAAACACGCTGCCCGCCCTGAGTCTGCGTTGGCTATCTTCTTGTCTCCATTCTTCCCGCGGGCTCCGTAATTTCGTAATCGCAATTTGTTGCCCTTCCCCAGACTCTCCGTCCCATACGTACAATCAGCTCACCCACGTTTGCGTTGTCTAGCTATCAGGATCTACTTCCTATCTTAGCGAAAGATGGTATTCCCAGGTCGCTTTAGCTCAGGTTGTCTGCGGTGTCGCCAACGAAAGGTCAAGGTGAGTAATGCTTTCGCTCTGATTGAGCGATATCTGTTCTGTTCTGTTCTAATCTGTTATCTCTGCGCAGTGCGACGAGGGAAAGCCGACGTGTCGACGATGCTACAACTACGGAAAGCCATGTCTTGGATATACCGACGAGTTTCATTTTAGACACTCTGCGCCAAAGGGAAGATCGCAGAGTACTTCTTCCAACACCTCGCGCGCGTCAAAAGCCCCAAGTATAGCCAGTGCCAGCACAGCGAGTCCCCCGCAAGATGAGAAACCGCCCGAAGAGGAGCCCCCGAAGCCCAAAACACGGCCGTTGGAGGCGCCCGTCCGACGGAGATCTGTAGCCATGGTTCGACACCCGACACAATCATACGATGACATGTCGCTATGCTATTTCGTGCGTCGCTTTGTGTCGCCCGATGACGACGATGGATTTCCCGGACACTTCACCTTCCTACCGAGTTTGTTCGATCACTACAAGGATGGGCTCGTCGAGACAGCGACATTGAGCGTTGCCCAATTGGCTGCGTACAATCATTTGGGCAACGAGGAACTTCGGACACGGTCTTTGAGAAATTATGGACGTGTTATCAAGGGCCTGCAGCAGAGCATCCAGTCTGATGACCAGGCAATGGACGACAAAGTCATCGCTACCATTCTGCTTCTGTGCACGTACAAGGTAAGTCCCACGCGACATCAATTACTTCACTTCTGACTCGATGATAGGACTTTAGTGGTGAAGGATTAGGTGATCCGAATGAACATGCTTCAGGACTGTTCTACCTGTTGGAGAAACGAGGGCCAAGTCAGATTGGTACACGAAGAGGAGCCGAACTCTTCTTGCTTGCTCTGCTGCGACTGGTAAGTCACGCGACAAGACAATCACATGCCATGACACTGACTCAAATGATAGCAAATCTATTCATTCTTACACGGAGATGATGCATACACCGACCCCGGCGCCATCGCCACCGTTGTCGGCATCTTCGACCCTCTTCTTCGAGCACTGTCCATGATGGGACGGACCCTGTCGCTGCGACATCGTCTGTGCCGAATTATGCAACCAGATTCATATCAGCAACAAGGCGCCAGCCCCTCGACAGCATCGCAGAGCAGTACCGCGACAGAAGACGAGAGAATCCTGATCCAGGAATGCTTCGACATGCTTGACGCCTTTGGCTCCTGGGACATTGAAGCAGCAGAGTACTGGCAATTGACCTTCGAGGGTCGCGGCGTTCCAACGACCCTTGGTGAGATGAGCGCTGGTAGGATGCACTACGACGCTGAGACAGCCTGCATCATCATTCTCGTCCGATCAGCTCGTCTCATTCTGCTTCAGACCATGCTTCTCTACCAAACTACATTGGTACCAACGGAGGATGATGATGGGTATAGTTACAATTCATGGGCAGAAACCGTTCCCTTCCTTGAATCCGATGTCCGCAAGACCGTCGATGACATGCTCGCCGCTGTGCCATACGCCCTGGGCGATATCGACCCGAGCGGCATGCCAGCGACCATGCTTCACGACGGTGCAGCGGCCATTATCATTGTTCACTCGATTAGACTTGTCACACACTGTGTTTACACTACGCCCGAACAGACTGAAAGGGCAGCTCGTATCCTTGCTAGGTTGAACTCCGCTATGGGGATCAGGTCAGCTGTCGGATTTAACCCTAGTGATCACTACGGGGTACAGCCCTTTGCGGCTCTTTCACCGTCTCCCATGTTAATGTCACCCGGGCCAATGGACTGCACCGAAGAAAATTTGGTTTCGCCTGGCACCTTGAGCTTGCTTTCATCTTGATACCAGCATTTGCACACGATTTAGGCTTGTATTAATACCTATATGGATAGTTGTCTTTTCGTTCTCAAATTGGAAACCCTTACCGTATTGTCCCAAATGACATGATCTCCCCGTGACTTATGCCGGGCTTACTCAATCTTCAGTGATGAGCTGAAAAGCTCCATGCGGTCCAGCACCATCGCATCTCTTTCCCAAAGATGCCGTAACGCTGGGTAGATTGGTCCACCCAGAATCGTCCACCAAATCGTATTGAAGCATATGACCACTCGACTCGGGGCTCTTTGTGCCGAGTAGAGTTGATAGCTGGTCCAGATGACCATCGCTAGACAGGTACAGTATACATCCCATCGCAAGAACGAGACTACAATCTCCCTGGATTGGAGTGCAGAAACAGGCGGGTCAAGTAAAGCCAGAGTCGGAGGGTTCGTTAACGATGTGAGCGCGAGGATGTGATGTCCGGAAATATTGTCTGTAAGGTCCATGGAAGAAGTGAGAATTGTCCCGAATATACCCAAGTGTACTGCGACCGTCAGGGTTGTAATGAAGCGGTATGCACGATTCATAGCCTTCCTACAGGCTCTCGGGTCGATATGAGCAGTGTTGTTGGCCTTGCCCCGGCGAGACCAACAGACCAAGCGGGATACTCGCTGTATGGCAGTCTGGTACAACGGAAAGGGTTGCCAAAGAGCCACGGCGATAAACTTGGCCTCCCTCGAGACATCGAAGATCAGCGGCAAGCACAGACCAATAGTTGGCACAATGTAAGATATAATTGTCGATATCGGGAGGAGGCTCAGGTCGCACGGGTCGGCCAATAGATATGCTTGTTGGGGGATCGTTGGTGAGAGAAGGAGTTGAAGAGTGAGATATATGGGAGCAATGATTGTTATTGTGACGGATTGAAAGACGATACCGAATGTTCCGGTCCTGCATTCCATGTCAGCATGAGGCTAGCATTCAGATATCAGATCTCTCTCTTACCAACTCAAAATTGTTCCACGGTTGCCAAATCTCAGCCCTTCAAGGGCTATAAGATACCAAGCACCACAGAACTGCGCTGCCAAGTACACAAAAGCCAGAAGGGCCTCAAGGTCCACGCCCTTACTGTCAGGATGCTTCTTGAGCCCTTGAGCGAAGAACTCCAGGAGCAGCATCACCGGCTCGTCGACTGCTTGGTAGCCCGTGAGTTTCCGAGAGATCGAGTCTGACATGTCCAAAGGACATAGTGAGCTTCCGTCGAGCGACTTTGCGTTGGTGATGCAGTCCCGAACAGCGTCAAAGAAGCCGTGACGGTATGAAGTCCCCATGCTAGCATAGCCTCCTAAGAGGGCACAGCCTAGAATGAGGCAAACGATAGACTTTGGGGCCATTGGAAGGTTTGCTTGTGAAGATCTGATGGCGATGTTGCAGAGTCTGATAAATCTGCTCAACTCAACAAGAAGTCAACAAAACTGAGGCGCCTCAAACCTCAAACATGTTGGTCTTTTCAAGCTTCGTCTTCCCTCTCATCTCTGAACCGGAAAGAAGTCCCGTTCATGCTTCAGCTGTAAAATGTTGGGAGATCCTCATCTAGTTTCGGCCTAGATTGCGAAATCTCCTCAAGTTTTCGACGATGGTGTTGAAGGGAAAACAAAACTCCTCGCACATGTGAAGGGAATCTGATCGACAATAACATCATTTAGGAGCATCCGCGGAGCCCATCTCCACGTGCTGCTAATTACGAACCCGTCTCTTCAGACTTCAGGCTTGATGCTTCTTAGAAGTTGTAAGCGAGATGCTTGCTTGATCCAGTTAGACCTTGCCGGTGGCTCGCATGCTAAACCCAATCAGGTTGCTTTTGCGACATTGATCATCGACGGTGGATTCCTATTGTAGAGTGGCATTTGCGCTAGTCACCAGAGGCACATGAGCTCCTTCAGTTGATGGCCTAGATGGCTTGAATCAAGATAATCATGCCATGGAATTCATTGAGCTTCGGAGAATTTCATATGAAATTCTTACCCAACCTTTAATTCTTAGTTTTATATGCTACGTTTATCTCATTCGCTTACTATTGCTAAGGTCTACTTATCCTTTAATGAGTCCGGCAGAGGCTAGGTTCTGAATTTCACAAAGTTCTGCAGCTTCTTCAACATGGCTGTCGTCTCTAAGCTATTGGGCTTTCCTAGCCTAACATTAGCCGCTGTCATCGAGTCTTTCGTCGCAATCAAAGTATTTCCAGATTATTACGATTCGAAGAGCCATTTGGCTGCGGTATTCACTATCTTGCTCGTCAATTATGCGTTTGGAATCGTTTTCTGGGGGTTTCTATACCCAATCTTCTTCAGCCCCCTGCGACACATTCCTGGTCCAAGAGTACGTTCATCGTTCTGTTTCGTCTGTTCTTGAGCTCGTACTCATATGAATGCGCCCACAGGAATATCTAAGCGCCGCTCATCGATCTATCGCTGTCAAGGACAGACCATCCGGCGACCTATTCGTCGATATTGCGAATCGATATCCCGGTGAAGACCTACTTACTCTAAACTCATTCAGAACTCACATCCTTGTGACAAACCCTCAACTTCTGGCTGACCTCCTCGTTCACAACTGCTACGACTTCACTAAGCCGAAGAGAATTAGCTCTTTCCTACGACATATTCTCGGCGATGGTCTCATTATCGTTGAAGGCGAGCCTCACAAGTTCCTACGTAAGAACTCAACGCCAGTCTTCCACTTCCGACACATCAAGGAGCTGTACCCCATGATGTGGGAGAAGAGCCAGTCGCTGGCTCGGGCAATACAACAGGATATGACCACATCGAGGTCATCAGTCGTTGAGCTCAACAGTTGGGCAAGCAAAGTCACACTCGACATCATTGGTATTGCCGGTCTGGGTCGCAGATTCGATGCCGTCGAGAAGAAGAAAGATCCTCTTGCGGACATTTATGAGGGCTTGCTCGAGCCGAGTCGTGAGAAGCTCATCTTTTCTGGCTTGGCACTGGCCGTTGGTCTGCCATTCGTTCGTCTTCTGCCTTGGAAGATGAACGATGTCTTTAACTATCTGACCGGAACGTTGAACGAGCTTTGCTACCCCATGATCCAGGAGAAGAAGACAGCCATTCTGGAAAAGGGGGATGATCACTTCGATGTCTTGTCGCTTCTCATCAAGTCGGGTAACTTTTCGGACGAGGCTTTGAAGGACCAGCTTTTGACCTTCCTTGCAGCAGGGTAAGTGATCCGAAATCACCATAATAAGAATATGACTGATCTTGTATAGGCATGAGACTACCTCATCTGCGATAACCTGGGCGTGTTACTTACTCACCAAGCACCCAGAATACCAGGCCAAGCTCAGAGAGGAGGTCAGAAACGGCGTACCAGAGGATCTAGCCACCAACCCGACAGTCGATCTCGCTGGTATCCTCGAGCAGCTTCCCTACCTCAATGGCGTCATGCACGAGACACTCCGACTCTACCCAACAGTTCCACTGACGATGCGCCAAGCCATCCGCGACACTCGCATCGGTGATCAGTTTATCCCCGAAGGCACAGATATCATGGTGTCAATCTGGTACATCAACCGATCAGAAGCCATCTGGGGCCCTGACGCGACAGAGTTCAAGCCTGAGCGATGGATCACAGATGATGGAAAGCCAAATCAGAACGGAGGAGCTAGCAGCAACTACAACTTCCTCACCTTCTTGCATGGACCGAGAAGTTGTATTGGACAAGGGTTCGCCAAGGCAGAGTTGCGGTGCTTGCTGGCTACTATGGTGAGGTCGTTTGAGTGGACGTTGTCGATGGATGATAAGCTTGTGATGCCAAGAGGAGTGATTACGATCAAGCCAGAGAATGGCATGTATTTAGATTTGAAGGCTCTATGATATTCCATTAGCGAAGTCATTCACGAGATTAACGATGTCATGTATTATAATTCTATCTTTTCTAGTTACTGCTGCTTCTAAAGGATGCAAGAAACCTCAGGATATTCACCTTAAGCGATGAAGACATTTAGGTTACTTAGCCTGAGCTTAGGGAATTCTTTACCATGCTTGTTTGACATTCGCTTCTAAACTCTCTTCTCTTTCTTGCTCCCCGATGCGCTCCCCTCGAGTTGCGTATCTCTCGCACTCGTACACCTTCCAGCACATTGTTGTTAGGAACCCACTGCCGGCAGCTATGGTCATTGGCAGCTCTTCATATTGAATTGTCTGTGAAGGTACGATTGAGTGACATCTCTGAGCTTGACAGGCTCTTGTCCCCAAGCGTAGCAGGCCAATGTTCTACATCTTCCGCCCACGGCAATTGCTCCTCAACGCTCACATTCAAGTAACAAGTCGTGTCCTGGGGGACACTGCGTCTCACTCTGAACACGAGGGACAGGTTCGCTGTGAGAGATATCGTGGTGGAGATACTCTTCATGTTAATGTCGACGACTTCCGTATCCGTTGTCTTACCTCGGGCCTGGTCACTTCCAATCACGCACCCAACTTGGATGCCATAAGGCCTTTCTATCATTCTTGTGTGTATCATGAAAGTTGGAAGACCGCTATGTGCTGCAATTGGGCAAAACATGGTGCTGGTTTCTGGTAGGGTATTGATACGTCCATTGATACTCTCGAGAACACGAGGATGAGGCTTCAAGTCGGACACAGGTGGTATAGAGTTATCTTCAGTGTCAACGTGTAGCTTATAATAGCCATTGTTGATAGGCAGTGAGCGGAACTGAAGTGGTGCACGGTGGTTGCTGGCTTGAGCAGAAGCGTATGTGCCGGTCGATGGTAAGTCTAATGGTACATAGGCCCTTACGAGAATGGTTTCCGGAGGATCAGCGGGTGGTCCCTTCTCTCTACTCTCAGAATCAAATTGTCTGAGAGTGTAGTCCGATTCATCTGGGGCCTTTTCTTCTTCGCTCTTCAGTGTCAGTCGTAAAGGCATCAAGCGGACTTTGAACCAACGACATCGGGTCCCATTTTCGACCCTCTGATAAGCGCCAGATGCCAAACGTTTGATAGGAATACCGATATAGCCATCTTTGTTCCAACAGCGCAGAACCGCAACCAAGCACATTGTCTTAATCCCCTTTGCGTCTCGTCTCGCTGGCGTGATCACGAGACCGTGATCCACTGCCCTCACGTTATTGTTGTAGAACCGTAGTGTGCCCACGACATCCACCCGATCGATGTTTCCAAGTTGCTTGGGGTCAGCGGGTAGAGAGCAAAGCCGAACTAGCACTGCCGAAAGACTGATATCCTGCTTGACCAAGTCGTATTGCGGCACGTGACTCCGGGAAATATCTCGAGGTGCCCTTATGTCATGAGAGTCTCTAAAACAAGCCGGCGAAGGAGCTAGTAACCCGAGGAATCGGAAGCCTCTCGTTGATGCTCCCTCATTGGGGGAGTACCCACAATCTTCGAGGGGTTCTGTAGACCAAGCGAAGATAGAGTCATCATTTGTTGCCTTCATGATTTCGACCTGGAGCCGGTAGAAAGCTTTGGGGCCTTCTCCGTAGATTAAGGGCATGTTGACATCGAATAGACCCATGAGAGAGTAGGCTTGATCCTCTAGTCTTGTGGTTTGCCGCATTGATGCCCAGGACATGATCCCAGCGACACTAACATGTGACCAGGTTTGCTTTACCAACGTGGCTACATCAATCTTGGTGATATCTGAGATAGTGGCGCTTAGACTAGCTTTTGTACCAATCTCACGCCAGTTATCGGCGAGGAAGATCACCTCGTGCGGCGCAAGGAGCTCCTGAAGAGTCCATCCGCGTGTGAACCATCGACTTTTGCGGAACCTGGAGTCCGGTATTCTTGGGTTCTCGGCGGAGCTGACATCATCCATATAGACATAGCACGCTGCAGACTTTCGATACCACTGGAACATCGAGTTAATTGCCTCTGATAGCTCTGCGCTAGACGTCTTGTCTATGCAACAGGTGTCGATCCAGCCGTACTCAAATCCCTCGGCTTTCGCCTTTACGCAAAAGTCCACGATTTTTCTGTAGCCTTTCGATTCTTCTGGAAGAGGGCTCAGTCCGCTCATTTGCTGCAGCGACACTTCCTCGGACGTCCAGACGTGCGACAGGATCGCATATGTTGGTATCGAGCCTCCATGTTCGCCGGTGAAGGATTCTAGCTCGAGAGTTTCTACATTGATAAGTCGCATGGTTGACAATTATCTCAATGCGCTCCGCCGGCTCCAAAAGTCGTGGGAGCTTCTAGCGAGTGTCTTTGGGACATTTCTTATATGTAACTTGAATAGAGGGCAGATCAGGCTGTAATTGGCAGCTCTGATCATGTGGTTGAGCATGTTAGGAGGGGATAGAGAATCATGTTTCTGCTTACTGACGCCAACTCCAGCACTGAACTAAGGATTTAGACAGTGTATCGCGCTATCGGGGCTGGATGTTTTGTCCAGGGATGCCAAAATAAACTCATCAAAAAGCACCCTAAGGTTGTCATAACTTGCCTAATTATTTTCATCCTTTAGGCTTTAGGCCTTAAGTTTTATCGTCTCCCCTAGCCTTGGCCGTTGCTCCAGGCTTCGAAGCTGCCTACCCTGCAGCTATCCGTGATGCTCACAAGTTATCGTCGGCGTGATTAGCACTATAGATAAAGTCCGTTATCAACTAAAAGGATTATCAAACAACTTGACGCCAGAATGAGTAACACTTACCTCTGACTGCCATCCTTCGCTAATTATTAGCACATTCCTCATGTCTAGGCGAATGACCTCTATGGACTCCACGTGCGGGTGACATTAAATTAGCTCCCTGCTTCGGAAAAGCTGACAACTAATCAACATTTCCATAAAAGGCATAACGCATACTGACAGCTCGCTCACACTTTGACGAGAACGCGTTCAACCTATTTAAAGGGACAGGAGCGTTACTGGCAGCTCCACGGCCCGGTTGCGTTAAATTGATTAAATGCCGGTATCTTCTTTAGGAAGATGCTCGCTGAGCTTCTCCTGCTATTTCGCCCCTCTTCAATCTCTAGCGCAGCTGACGAATCCTTCGACTGTCAGCACTTAATGTTGACTCAACAAATAGCCTCGATTGGGTATGGCCTTTGAGTTGAGTTCCGTAGCTGAGCTTATTCGAGATGGATCATTGCTTCAACCATGACGCTGTATTTCCAGTTAATATCGTGGTTTCCTTGTTCTATTGGCTCTCGCTATACTTAACCCTCCTCCGTCTGGTCCGTTCGGCACATAGGCATGTTTAGTCCAACTAATTTACGGATGAAGGTACGGTGGATATTTCGGATCTGAGATGCCAAGTGGAAACATATATAGATACGCAGTTGACAGTCTCAATGAACATATCCCAAGAACCAAGTTATTCACAACTGCCCTCAGTCTTCATTCTTTACTCTCCTTTGAACGTTAAAATTCATAATGAAGTTCGTCAAAGCGCTTCTTGTTACAGCCTCGCTCACCAAGGCATATCCCAAGCCTCACAAGTCCGGTCATGCATTGTACTTCCTTGACAGCGACCCCCAGGGAGCTTCTGTTGTCTCACTCAGTATTGCCAAGGATGGCTCCCTGGGTCAGCCACAGAGAACCTCTACCGGCGGAAAGGGCCTTATTAGCAACAATGTGAACGGCACTGTGACGATGGGTAAGTGAGACTATGTCCGCAGCGAGAAAGTTGCTAACAATTCGACCAGATCCCCTTTTCTCCCAAGGCTCCATCGTTGTGAGCGGAAACCGCTTGTTCACCGTCAACGCTGGATCCAATACTTTGGCCGCCTTCCATATCCCCAAGGAGAACCCAGCTCACCCGGTTCTTCTCGGAGAGCCTGTCGATACCGTTGGCACAGTTCCCAACACAGTTGCCTATTCTCGCAAGAACAAGCTTGCTTGCGTCGCCAATACTGGCACCAAGCCGGGCGTCCAGTGCTTCACGGTCTCGGACTGCGATGGTTTGAAGCCCCAAGGTAGCCTCAAGCCTCTTCCTGTCATCAACCAGACATCTCCTCCAACAGGTCCCCCAAACACTGTTTCCAACATCCTCTTCAACCCTTCGGAGACGGCTCTTTTTGTAACCATCAAGGGCAATGGCATGGAGAATGGCTTCGTTTATGCTTACAAGATCGAGAATGGCCGTGTGAGTGAGGAAGCCATAAAGTCACAGCCCAAGAACTTGCCAGTTGCTTTTGGAATGAGTTTTATTTCAGATACCTCAGCTGTTATTTCCACGCCGGCTTATGGTGCAGCATTTGTGTCCATCGCCCATAGTCTCACTGTATCCACCAAGACCAACATTACAGTCCCAAAACAAATGGCCACTTGCTGGACCGCGACTTCCGCTGGCTCTAGCTCTGTCTATCTCCTCGATGCCGCAGTTCCCGACGTCACTGCTCTTAACACTGAGACTATGGCCATCGGGCGCACTCTCCCCGGGTATGCTGCTGGAAAGGGCAACTTCGATGCTATTATCAGTGGTTCTAAGCTGTATGCTTTACAGGCCGCTCCGGCGATTGCTATCTTTGACTTGAAGCGAGATTCTTATGGCCCAAAGGTTGTCGACTTGACCGGACTCGGAAACCGTGCTTCCTGGACTGGGATGGCTGTTTACTGAGTGCTTAGGTTTAGAAGACCCCGATAAGACATGGACACCACAGCAGGATGCAGCCCTAAATTCTGAAAATAATTCACCTTTTACCAGTGAATCTACTATTGGTTTTTCTAAAATTGGATCTACTTCACTTCTTCTGTATTTTCTTAGAAGAGTAAAGGGCCTGACTCGGATTGAGTTGGATCCCTGGGCCTCTAACTGATAGATATTTCAGCTCAAAATATAGATAGAAATCCTTAATGTACACTTCACAAGATTGGCTTTTGCCCCGATACTATTTCTGCTTTGATTGTCTGACAGGAATAAAACCTTTATATGTTTGGGTTAGGTCTTTGCCTCTCAGGAACCTTGGCTGCGAAGCATTGTATGGGTTCTAAAACAAGAAGACTCATAGTATATTTATCTTATATAATAACAGAACCTGGGTAAGACTGACATAGATCTCATTAGATTTAGTGAATCTTAGGGGATAATTTTCTGGTCACTCTGAGGCAACGTATTCCAGCTCCGTATGGAAGGGTCATGGGCTTATGATGATGAACGACACACCGTATATGCATGTGAGATCCTAAGACTATGATCAGGGCTATCTTTGATCCTTTCATTGATCCATGCAAGCACGAACTCCGACAGGAACTTGCACCTCATTGTGTTCCGACCCAACGAGGCCAATGCTCCTGTCTGATCAGTGATAAGCCAAACATCGCCCCAAGACGTTTTACGACGCCTTGTTTCATAACACCAAGTTTCAGCTTTCGGCTCATGCCAACGGTATTGCGTGAGCCAAGGATGTAATGTATTTCCGTGGCAATGAGTGACAGCTCAGTCGCCTAATCATCGCGGAACCGACATCTTCGGGGGATCTAACCTAGCGGCATTTGATAGTGGGTTTTGCTAAGGTAGGGGAAAGGAGGCTATCCACAAGTGGGCCTTAGCTGTGAGACCCTAACGTTGGGCCCCTGAGTAATTTAACAGTTTTTTGGGATAAGAATAGCAATTACATCAGTCATTGACATGGGCGATTTGGATCTAAGGTACGGAGTAAATTGCCATTGTCGGCAAGATTGGAAAGTTTATCACAAATAATGTTTGTTGAATGTACGCTAAGTTAACTAAGAATGCTTGAAACTGGGCTGACGCTTCTGGAGGAATGACTGGATCCCCTCCTTGAAATCATCCAGCCCAAACGTCGAATAGTACAGCGCCTTTTCATGCGTCATCCCAGCATCCAGGGTCGAATTTTCCACTGCGACAGGGGTTAATTACCAACGGACATGGCCGGGCACTTTAATTGGTCAAACTCACCAGTCAAAACAGCTTTCTTGGCCGTCTTGATAACCGGAGCCGACAGACGCGCAATCTTCTCAGCCAGCGCTGTCGCTGCTTGGACAACGTCGGGCTTGGGGAACACCTTTGTTACAACGCCCAGTCGCTCAAACTCAGCTCCACTTGCTGGCTCGCCCGTCAAGACGAACTCCATTGCCTGGAACAGTAGTCAATGATTGCCACTAAGGTTTTGGGCTGGTTTGATGGTGACATACCTTGTGCTTTCCTAGGGCACGAGCCAGGCGCTGTGTACCGCCTGCGCCGGGGATGGTACCGATCTTGACCTCTGGAAGGCCAAACATGGCATCTTCAGCAGCGTAGATGATGTCGCACTACACCATTAGCTTGAATTATGTATGAGGATTGATATTGTCGACTTACAGCGAGAGCAATCTCGAAACCACCGCCCAACTGCATCTCATTAGCCCAAACTCTGAGTGGCGATCAGTAGATCGATCACCTACAGCGAAGCCAACAACAGCAGCAATAAGAGGCTTGGAAAACCTCGCTAGCGCATCCGTCAAATCCTTGAGAAACTCAATTCTATGGGCTTTGGAGGTCGACAGCTCCACCAACTCGTTTAAATCCATGCCAGCTGCTCCCGAAACTCAATTAGCAGCCGCATTATCACAACAATTCTTCTTCATCTCTATTCTTCCGATGGAGAAACCTGAACGTACCGCAGAAGTGCCCTTCAGGTCCACCAGTCAAAACTACAGCGCGCACCGTATCCACTGAGTCTAAATGGTCTAGAGTGGTGACTATTTCGTTTATCGTATTCTGTGAAAAGGCATTGCGTTTGGCTGGTCTGTTGAACTGGATGAGTGCGACGCCAGTATCGCTGTTGGTCGAGAGCTTGATATCCTGGAGCTTCTCCATTGTGACGTGTCTCTGAAACGGTCGCTGTCGAGGATATCAGTGAAATCTTGGTTATGATGGAAAAGAAGCAATTCGCATCCGCAAGATGAGCGAGGTCAATTGTTTAAGTCTGTCATCATACATGAGGGTCTCGTCAAGCGCATTGACAATCTGTCCCTTGATCCGCAGTGCTGAACTCGTATAGAATCTCAAGTTTCGACTTTGTGGAGCGTTTGGTCTCGTCACAGATTCCGGAACGGTCGTTTCGGTATTTGGGGCAGGTTAACTGAAGATCTACACGTTGCCTCAACGGTTTTGTTACTCTTTTCGTTATCCCACTCTGATTACAATTCTCTTTGTAAGGTATCCCAACTAGCCAGCTTCCCCAAACAACAGAAAAGAAGCACTGACGAAAGCCGTTGAAGACCACAAAACGTGACGAGTTTCAGGGTCCCTTGCAGATTCCCTTCCCCACTCCGAACGGTAAGCCTATTCTGCTGTAGTATTGCCCTGTCAAGCTCGCCATTTACTACGTAAAACAGAACGATCTCCGTTTCGTTTTGGGAATCTCGTACTAAACCCTGATCGTTACGCCTCTGATATACAGGGACCTGCCTTCATCTGCCTTGGTCACTGCGGCGGATCAGCTTCCGTAAAGAGTAGACATCCCAACGGAGCGTTATGCATCTGAGCCAAAAGATCTCACTAATGCAACCTTATTCGGCCGAATCCACATGCTAAAGACGCCCAGGGTTTTATGCTGCCAAGAATCGAGCTGCCGGATACACTAGATTGTCGTAGACGTTTCTTGTTCCGAAACCAGAAGCGGAAATTTAGTCAATATCCTGTACTGTTAAGATTCTCCGTCATTTCCAAAAGCACTTTTCTTTGCAGGTTACAAATACTTAAGGAGATCGCCATGACGCAGCCTTGACGGCGTGCTTGGTGGTCAGACGTTCTATACCCAAAACGTCCCATAATGTCTTCTTCCTATTCTTTCAGCTCCCTTGAGAGCCTCTCCCTGGCGGATAGAGTGTTATTCAACCGATTTAGCAAGGGGCCTGAGTGTCCTATCCCGTATAATGTTGCTCACCACGCTTTTGAGGCAGTTGCGCTGGCGCACCCTGATCTCATTGCAGTTCGACACTATGACGGGAGCACTATCACATACCGAGAGCTCAACCGAAGGGCAAATATGTTGGCGAACGAGCTGATACATGCTTTTGGCCTGAGGGTCGGCGATCGTGTCGTGTTGGTGTACTCGCGTTGCATTGAGATGGTCGTCTTCATCCTCGCCGTCCTCAAAGCCGGTGGGCAGTACGTGCCATTGGATGGTGGCATTGTCACCGACGACACATTAGGCTTTGACATTGCCGATTCCGACGCTCCGGCTGTTCTCTGTCTTCCCAAGTTCTTTGACAAGGTTATTCGCAGCATTCCAGATGATCGACGGAACATTGTCAATGTTCTCGATCTGGACAGCCACTCAGATCTCTGGCGCAGAGGCAACCCTTCACACCCTATGGTGGAGGTCGGTCCAGATGATGGTGCATATGTCATCTACACTTCGGGTACGACAGGCCGACCCAAGGGTGTGGACGTGAGACATCGAGGTGTCACCAATACCCTTTTGGCAGAACCATCCAAGTTGGGCATTAGACCTGGCAGGAACGTGGCACAGCAGCTGAATGTCGCTTTTGATATGTGTAAGTGAGATCCGATTCAGGTCAATTGACTGAACTAACCTCTTGTCAACAGGTGCCTGGGAGATCTTGGGTACAATGATGAACGGCGGTACTCTTCACATCAGAGGTAGTGGTCTCGAGCCCTGGACCGAGTGTCTGCAACGATGCGACACCATCATCGCTACCCCATCCGTCGTTCAAAAATACATGCCACGCCTCCAAGACTTTCCCAATGTCGATACAATTGCTGTCGGTGGCGAGCCTTGTCCTTTGGCGCTCGCCGAGAAATGGGCTCCCCATGTCAATTTCTGGAACGTCTGCGGACCAACCGAGATCAGCATGCTCAACACAGCGCATCTTCACCAGCCAGGGATTCCGCTGTCAATTGGCAAGCCCAACCCTAACACGAATGTTTACATCCTCGACGATAATGAGAACCCTGTTCCAATTGGCCAACCTGGTGTTATGTGGGCTGGAGGCCCAGGTGTCTCTCGAGGCTACATCAATCTTCCTGAACTAACAGCCACTCGCTACAAGCTGGACAAGTTCACCAACGATGGGTAAGCTCCCTGTATCAACACTACCACTGACTGATACTAACACGAGTAGCAACATGATGTTCAACACCGGCGATCTAGCCCAATGGCTCGAGGACGGCAGCCTCCTCCCTCTCGGCCGAAAAGACGACCAAGTCAAGATCCAAGGCTTCCGCGTCGAGCTCGACGGCATATCCCGCTCCATCGAATCAAATCCCGGCGTCATAAAAGGCTGCGCCCTCAAGATCGACACTGCTCTGTGGGGCTTCTACTCATCCCACATCCCGATCGCTGAAACGGAGCTGAAACAAACGGTTGGAAAGACCCAGCCCTTCTACGCTGTTCCCACGATCTGGAAACATCTTCCCGTTCTGGAACTCACACCGAATGGAAAGATTGACAAGCGAGCCTTGTACAAGATTGCTGAGGGCCAGAGTGATGTTCAGCAAGTGGTTGCCAAGCCTAGACCGGAGACGGTATGGCCGTCGCATGAGCGGTTACTGTCGATTGGTAGTTCCAGTGATGGAACTCTCTTTGAGGGCGAGAAGAATGGTATCATGAGGGATCTGGAGAAGGACTCCAAGGGCGTTATTGAGGACTATGAAGAGGTTGAGACTGAAGAGTATGCTCTTCCCGGCAAGAATGGTTTCCATGGATGGCGGTGGCTCCGTCACACTGCATTCTCAGCATATCGCAAGCTCTTCGGGCTCATCTTCCTATCCAATCTCACTGTCCTCATCTTCCTTCTGTGGGAGAGTCGCAACAACAACTTCTTCCCTTCTCCTTCCAAGGTCGCAACAGCTGTTGCGTCGAATCTGCTCTGTGCAGTTCTGGTGCGTCAAGACTACGTCGTCAATGCGATATTCTTCGTCTGTTCCCGAGTCCCCACGTCGTTCCCTCTGTCCATCCGAAGGCACTTTGCTCGTGTATATCACAACGGTGGTGTCCACTCTGGATGCGCTGTCTCTGCTACTGCTTGGTGGTTCATGTACACCATCTCAACCAGCCGGGACTTCCTGATCGAGACATATCAGCCTCCCATCAAATGTGTTGTTCTCGCCTTGACTTACGTCATTCTGCTTCTGCTCTGCTTCATCCTTGCCATGGCGTACCCCAGTGTCCGCATGAAGATGCACGATCAGTTTGAGTGGGCGCATCGTTTTGTCGGTTGGTTCTCAGTCGCTCTTGTTTGGGCCCATGTCATTACATCAACAGCAGCGACGGCGACTGAGCCCTTGGAGAATGCATTGGCCAAGAACCCAACCATCTACCTCCTATCACTCATCACTCTCAGCATCGCCCTGCCTTGGGCCAGACTTCGTCGCGTCAACGTCAGGCCCGAACCTCTCTCCAACCACGCTGTGCGCCTTCACTTCGACTTCTGCACACCTGGCCCTTGCACCTCACGAGGTGTTCGCATCACTGATCGTCCAATGATTGAGTGGCACGCCTTCGCAGCCATTCCTGAACCCAGCGGTAAAGGCTTCTCGATCATTGTATCGAAAGCAGGTGACTGGACCAAGCGGATCATTGAGAAGCCTCCGACGTCCATCTGGACGCGAGGTACTCCAGCATCTGGTGTTCTTGCTGTCGCTCCGCTGTTCAAGAAGGTCGTTCTCGTCGCAACAGGATCGGGTATCGGACCCTGCATGCCCGTCATCATGGAGAGGCGCGTGCCTTGCCACGTAGTCTGGTCTACCAAGAACCCTCTCTCGACTTATGGACAGGACATCCTCGACACTATTCTTGCCATGGACTCTGAGGCCATTATCTGGGATACAGATAAGAAGGGTCGACCAGATATGGTCAAGTTGGCATATCAAGCCTACAAGGAAAGCGGCGCTGAATGTGTGTGCATCATTTCCAACAGATCAACAACAGCGAAAGTGGTTTATCAGCTGGAGAGTCGCGGTATCCCGGCGTATGGTCCCATCTTGGACTCTTGATTTGGAGCGTTCTTTGTGCTTGGGCCAGTCCCAGGTTCTGTTTTCTATCAAGTTATTCTTTTGTCTATATAGGTGTAAATAATGAAAGTAATTCGATACAAAACGGCCCACAATATCAGATGCTCAATTCTTATTCCTATATTTCGTAGAGGCCGTCAAGAATCGGCTTATTGATCCTCATTCGTATCGTGGAGCGCCATTTATTATCGTGTTGCAGAGCAAAAAGCCATGTCACACCGAGTTCCCTGAAGGAGGGTTGCTACCGGCCGATAAGAACTCCCGAAAACACGCAAAACAAATCAGTAGGTTTCGTGGACCGATCTGGATTCTCCCTGCATTATCTTGACCGTCCGAGGGTATCGGCCTCGTCACCGCCGGCCCCAACAGATCGGCGACCAACGTCTCACAGCGGCCCCGCCGACTTTACCGTCTCGGTCCACGGCTGTCGGCCTCACCGTTGATATCTATAAATCCTTCCCAACGGCCCACAAAATAAACATGATTTTCCTCAAAAATAACCTTACTTCTTTTCTGGGGCAATCATGAAGAAGACGATCAATTATTACGAAGTTGAACCTACGGTCAGGGAAGCGCTGGGCGAGTGTGTTCCGAGCCGACATGATTCACTTCGCTTTGCCAAATCTTTGTTTCCGTGCTTAAATTGGCTACCCAGGTACAACTGGCGGTGGCTGTTGGGTGACAGCATTGCTGGTTTGACTGTTGGGCTGGTTGTTATTCCTCAAGCCATGGCGTACGCCCTTCTTGCCACACTGCCACCAGACTTTGGGCTGTATACTTCTTTTGCTGGTGCGGCAACGTATTGGTTGTTTGGGACATCGAAAGACATTGTCATTGGAGTGCGTCAATCACCCAGCATCTATCCTCATGTCGCGGCTAACATTGAGGGTGTAGACCACCGCCGTCGGTTCCCTTCTCGTCGGAGAAGTCATCTCCCGTGTCCACGAATCGCGACCAGATACATACACAAGCGCCGAGATCGCTGGAACTTTGTCGTTCATGACTGGCATCATCCTCTTTGCACTGGGTCTGTTTCGTCTTGGATGGCTCGTTGAAGTCATTCCCTACATCCCAGTATCAGCCTTCATCACAGCAGCCAGCATCTCCATTATGTGTACTCAGCTCCCTGTACTGCTAGGCATCCACGGCGTCAATACACGCGAAGAGCCTTATAAAGTGTTCATATCGACTATGAAGAACCTGGGCGGCACCAAACTGGACGCTGCTATCGGTATCACTTGTCTTGTTCTGCTCGAGCTGGCCAAGTTTGTCTTTGCCAAGCTGGAAGCTCGTCAACCTGCGCGAAAGAAGATGTGGTCGATCATGTCTTCCCTGCGCCTCACCTTCGCCATGCTACTATACACACTCGTGAGCTTCCTGGTCAATCGCAACTTGAAGGAAGATGAGACCAAGTTCCGAATTGTGGGACATATCAACCAAGGTAGGTCTATCTCTCAACATTATCACAATCAACCGCTAACCCATCACAGGCTTCGTCCACGCTGGTCTTCCGGATTTAAAGCCTGATCTCATTGGCGTCGTTCTTCCTCAAAGCCCCATCATCATTATCATCCTCATCGTTGAGCATATCGCCATCGCCAAAAGCTTTGGAAAGAAGCACGGATACGAGGTTGCCCCATCGCAAGAGATCATGGCTCAAGGTACAGCAAATATCATCGGGCCATTTCTGGGTGGTTACTCATGCACGGGGTCATTTGGCGCTTCGGCTGTTCTGTCGAAAGCTGGTGTCAAGACACCCATGGCTGGTCTTTTCAGTGCCTTCATGCTACTTCTTGCGCTTTACGCTCTCACGGGAGTGTTTTACTTCATTCCTCGAGCCGCTTTGGCTGGCCTGATTATCCATGCTGTTTCGAACCTCGTTGCTTCTCCGTCTACAGTAATGAAGTATTGGCGACTTTCACCTTTCGAGTTCTTCATCTGGGTTGCTGGTGTTATTATCGCATTGTTCACCGGTCTTGAGACGGGCATCTATGTCACCACTGGCCTCTCATTCCTACTTCTACTTGTTCGCATTGCTCGCACCAGCGGCGAGTTCCTTGGCCGAGTCACTGTTGAGCAGATCGATCCAAGCGATGATGCGCAATCGCCGTTCTCAAATACCCGTGAGAGAGTCGTATCCCGCGACATTTACTTGAGCCTTGCTCGCAAAGACGCGTCAAATAAGGACATCCCAGTGGAAAGCCCTCACCCAGGCATCCTGATCTACCATTTCCCCGAAGGCCTCAATTATCTCAACCAAGCAATGCACTTCAAGACATTGACAGATTACGTGTACGCTCACACAAAACGGGCCACCGAGGAGCCGGAGTGCGACATGTCGGAGGCTCTGTGGTGTGACAAGCCTGTCGTGTACAAAGGCGACACAGAACTGCCCGTGTTACGAGCAATCGTGATCGACTGTTCAACAATTCACAATATTGACATTACCAGTGTTCAGGGCTTGGTTGATGTGAGAAATGCGCTAGATCGATGGGCGAGCCCATACTCAATTCAATGGCATTTTGGCGGACTGCGAAATAGATGGGCGAGGCGAGCTTTGACAGCTGTTGGCTTCGACCAGAGTGCGACAGAGAATGGACATTCAATTGGAAGTTGGACTTCAATTCTACCATTGGCAAGATCATTTGACGAAGAGAACGAAAATAGAAGACGACAGAGCAGCATAGACGACGAAAGCATAATCGGCACACAAACAAGCACAGAAATCGAAGCGTCATCATCTGCTACACCAGCAGAAAAACAAGGCCTCAGACCGGTTTTCCCAACCGACAGGCCCTTCTTCCACGCCGATCTTGACGAAGCGGTGACGGCAGCGTTGGCCAATGCAAGGAGGAGCGAGTGCCGTCCAGGAAGCGAGACGGAAACAGAAAATGACTGATTGTTCCCGACTTCCGACTACGTACCAGGCGCCGAAGCCAAAGCCCCACTCCGGCCGTCTTCCCCGAGCCGCTCCGGAGAAATCAGTGGATATCGGCGTCTCCAAAACTCTAATTTTCATCGGGGACTAGATTAATGATCAGATGGTTTACTAGCGAGTTTAGACTGCACTAGAGCGGAAATGAAGCGTGATTTTAGACAGCGACAGAGCGAGTTAATAGAGCAAAGATTTTCAGTTTCTACCGTGTGTCTTGAACTTTATCATCAAAAAACAACATCAAAGCGTTACATAGATCGTTCTGCGAATCATGGCAACAAGTTTGTTGGCAGGTGCCATCTTTGGCACAGGCCTCACCCTGTCGGGCGTAGCAAACCCGCAGGTCATAAAGAATCAATTCCGCCTCTCCGACTTTCACATGCTCGCCACGTTCCTCACCGCATCCGCAACCAGCGCCACAATCTTCACCCTCTACAACTCCAGAACCACAAAGATCCCAGCCCGATCAGCAAGTTCGCACGGATGGCTGGGCCTATATGACGGCAATATCATTGGTGGCGCCATGCTGGGTCTGGGGATAAGCTTAACGGGTGCTTGTCCCGGGACGGTCCTCGTGCAGGCCACGGCGGGTATTGGCGCCAGTCGGTTGCTCGCATGCACGTCGCTTCTTACCGGCGTTATCTGGGTGCGGTGTAAGCCGTACATGCTCAAGCCGCCGACGAGCCGTACCCGGAACACATCGGTTATGGATGTCACCGGGTTATCTGCAGGCAAGGTTCTCGTTGGGTATGAGATAACCATGCTTGCGATACTTGCCGGCATCTTATACATTGCACCGAGAAGTGTTACCATGCTGCATCCGGTTGTCGGTGGCCTCCTCATCGGCTTCGGACAGTTATCGTCTGTTATCTTGACCGAGAAGCCAGTTGGGGTCAGCGGTGCCTATGAGGAGTTTGGAAGGTTCTCCTGGGATATTGTCGGGGGCAATGGTATCAAATCACTCCCCCAAAACATCCTCTTTGCATGTGGACTAATGGCGGGTTCTTGGGCAACGTTGTCCAACTTTCCGGCCATCCGGGAGGCCATGGCACAAAGCGAGCAGGCATCACTACCAATGATTCTGGTTGGCGGAGCGTTTCTAACGTTTGGCGCTCGCATCGCTGGCGGATGCACAAGTGGTCATGGTATCAGTGGCATGGCTACGATGGGGTTGAGTTCCTTTATCACTATCGTTTCCATGTTCGGCGCTGGTTTGGTGGCTGGACTTTGGCTTGCTTAGGCATTGCATTGGGGGTTAGAATAAATTTACTAGTGCCTACTGTATCTTATGCTTGCTTACTATACTTGAAGAATAGAAGTTAGAAAGGTCTTATATCTAATAGACTAATCCGTATCTCATGTATCTAAAGAATTTGAGATGGTGATAGAACTATCAGACCCCGAGGTTCTGATGGGCCGATGAGCTATGGTTATAGTAAATGCCTTTACAGAATCATACTGATTAAGTAAAGCATGTCAGCATCTTCACTAAGTCTTACTGTGCCGGATTTAAAATAAAGCGTTTTCCTGTGCCGTCAAACACAGAGTGGAATGGAAATTCAAGATGTTAAAAGCGATTTGCAATTTGTTTCATCAGGCTAAACTATCATTCCGAGTACCGTTCCTTCAGCACAAAATCAAGAGAGCTGCCTCCAGGCTATTATACAATGTGCATCATTTGGATAGAGAATTGTGTGAAAAGGCTTATCTACCACGACGAACCTGTCACTGGTAAATGAATCGTCTTCAGTCCTGCCGGGTTCGGTGCCGGCAGTCTTCCACCTCTAATGTTGACCTGCAACGAAGGATGGATTAATCGAGGTGCAGCAAGGGACTCGTCACGTTTCTTTCGCATCTCAATGAACTCGTGCTCACGTGTCCCGTCTTTGAGATGCTTGTTGTTCTCTCTGTGTTCCTTCACGGTAGCAAAAGGAACCGGGCCCTCACGGTCAGCTGGTGGATAATCATGTCCTACCCAGATCTTTGTATCTTCTGGTAATGCGAGAAGCTTGCGGCCAGAGTTGAAGATGGCTTCAGCACTGCCACCGGGGAAGTCTGCCCGGGCGGAGCCGATATCAACGTGAAAGATGGAATCGCCAACAAACACGTTTTCTAGGTCGCGAGTTAGTCATTGATTGAGATTTATATGGAGTTTAAGTAGACTTACTGCCAATATGGTATCCCATGTGGTCTGGCGTATGACCAGGGAGATGGACAGCACGGGCGGTCAAAGTGCCAATAGTGAACTCATCGTTATCATCCCATAGCTTATCAAAGACGGTATCATACTCTCTGGGATCGATACCGTAACGTTCTCCGAACAAGCTTTGTACCTGGCGGATGAGTTTTCCAATGCCGATGATTGGCTTGGAACCTTGACTTCTGGCAAGCGCTGACTGGAGATATGATGCTGCAGTCAGATGATCTGCATGAGCATGCGTCTCTAGTATTATCTCAATCTTCAAGTCATTGTCTTTAACAGTCTTGAGAATGGCATCAGCCGATCCCGTCGACACGGCTGCTTTGACAGGATCATAGTCCAGGACTGGGTCGATGATGACCGCGCTCTTGGTGTTGGGATCCGAGACGATGTACTGCCAGGTGCCAGTGACAGGCTCGAAGAGGGAGTGGACTGTTGGTTCTGCCATTATGGTTGTAGCAGACGCAAATCCGGCGCGGCCGATGATGTGATTTTGGGTCGAATGTCGTGAGTGTAGAAGACAAGGTTGTCGCGATGCTAGACTCTTTTGGCAACCAGTTCTGCTTCTTCTTTGAATGTAGTTATGCGCGGTAGTGTAATAAGTCCGTCTGTTGGAAGGTTGTGGCACAGCTAGCGACGTGAGAGCTTTTGTTGGTACGTTTTCAAGAACAACTGCACTTCTGCGGGTAAGGGATATAAGCGATGCCATTGTCGCAAATGTTATACAGGGGGTAATTATACAAGGGCTATGGTAGTATCGCGAAAGACTTGCTGAGAAATGCTAATAGTCTAGTGCCCGACGCGAAACATCTGGAAACTTTGATCTGATATAATTTCCCGTCCCGGGGACTTGTTTGGCTTCCGCTTTTGATCCCCGAACGGTGGATCCCGACCCGCCCGACTCGGCGATTGAACTGAGACGTATATTGAGCATGTTGTCGCGGCAGATTGATAGCGATAGCCTGTAACGGCGTTCTCGATACTTCTAATATCGTATGATTGAGTTTGACAGAAATCGTGAGAGATCTCTCAGTACCAACAGCCTTTTCAATTAATGCTGTCACTTCCGCGAGCGATCGGCGGTCGGCGGTTGGCCCCACTTGAAGCAGCCGCAAACGTAGGGTAATCGAAATTCAGGGCAAATTGGCATCTTCATCGGGGCAAATGGTAGGAATTGGCTTCCAGTCTGTAGTCCATGAGAACTCGGTCAGTCCGACAGGGTAGAAGGAAGTTATGAATTCCAAATCATCTGAGTTTTGTGAAGGGAGCAAGAGGCTCGATTTCAGCACTTGTCATGACTAAACGATATTTACTTCGCATAAAACTTGGCTTGATGACAAAAAGCTAACGCGGAAGAGTCAAGGACCATCGCAATATCTTGTGACTCATGTCATGGATGATTTACCATCTTCTTTTACTATGTGCATAATACCCAGCACAAGAACTATTGGCAAGGGCTCTGGGTTTACCCACGGATGTTTCTATTACACTGGATGAACGGGAACGAGCCTATATGATAGGCCATGATTAGGGATACTATCAGTGTGGGCAAGTTTATGAGCTAAAAAAAAGTAACTCTTAGCAGATGCTAGCAGGTCGCTTGACCCACAACAGATGTTGTCTTTATCAATTACTCTGCATATTATATTATCAACTCTCGATAAGAATCAACGTGGAGCACAGGGTTAATGAATAAATTCAGCACAGTTACTTCAGAAATAATCATTACTATCATTAATTTTTTTTTTCGCCCCAAGTAGCTAGCTTATGCCAAAGGCCGATAATCAGTCGTGCCCTGGGGATGCCTGTCGCCGACAAAAATTGGTTCGGAGACGTTATTCGTGCCGATCTGGTTATATCGGTGTTGTCGACAGCTGGCGATGCCATGGAAGATAAGGCAAATGCATGAGAAAAGACTACAAATGGTCAGTCTGAGGGACCTGTGCTCAGATATAATTAGGAACCTACAATGATAAACCACCAAGACCGACACAAGTCGCAAAGACGTATCCGTAAAAACTCGTCACGTTCTTGAGGCTGTCGGGGCACTTGTTGTTTTCACAGTAGTCGGTGCCGTGGGCCCATAACACCGCTGTTTGTGCCGCAAGAACGGCAAATGATATAAGCCAGAATAAAGAGAGAATGGTGTCAAGAACCGCGGCGACTAAGTAATTGAAGAGGCGGTTGGAGAACATATGAGCAAAGGCCATCCATGTTGAGACCAGAAGTGATGCAGAGCTCTAGAACCAATGTCAGCAGGTCAGTTCGATTTACGATCGCACATTTTTTACGTACGGTTACGATCAGCAAGCAGTTCCCCGGAACAACCACTGCATTTATCGTGAAAGAGGTGACGACGATGGTGATGATGTTCAGTACGGCTTGGAAGATGCGCAGAACCGTGAATCCGGTGGAATATTGCGAAAGATCAGGGCGACGGGATGCCATTTCGATCGGTATTTGATATCACCACGATGTTCTTGAAGTATTGTTTCAAAGCCGTAACGAAGAATGATCGGGGGAAATTATTTCTATCGAAATTGAGGATGTAGATATGTCCATAATTAAGGAGAATTCCCAAGGCTAGGGTATATAAATATCGTCCCACTTGTTTGAGCCCAAGCCTCAGTCAGTGGCTCAAGTGTTGAAATCCTGTCAGATTTCATCCTGGATTGAGATGGTTTCTCCGAGCGTCAGCCTCAGGGTCGTGGAGTCAAGATGACAGAAGTCATGCTGACCCCATCTAGTGGTGGAGCATGTAAGATTGGCCTGCGAGACATGATATCATAAGGGAAGTAGGAAGAGCTCAATGTGAGAAAGATGGACGTCCTTCAATCGGTAAAGTGAGAGAATAAACAATTGGCATGTTTTTCCAAATTGTCTGTCATCTTCTCTGCGATGTTGATTAAGCCCACGACACGGATTGTAAGAGTAGGAACCTCATCCCTGCGCTATCGACATGGCGCAGCACTGAGCCAGCCGCAAGATTAATTGGCCGCCTAGACAAGATTTTCTCCGAGAAATAAGTTCCACTATCTAGGATGTCAGCATTATAAGGATGTTTTGTTTCAAAGTGATGTCACTGCCACATTATTTTCTGGGCAATTGTGTATTGCCCAGATATGACCGAGCCTCCTCGACTGTCAGGAAACAAAACCTTGACCATCGGCAGCGTAGAAACAATACTTAGATCATCTGGAAATTATGGGCTTCTGTAAGTAATCGATTTTACACAAGCAATCTCGAAAAGTACCTGGGAACTGCTGATGATGAAGCTGCACAATTTTGCAGAGCGTAACGGACTGAAAGAGCCTGTGATTCAGGAGTCAGGGCCCATCAGACTTGTATCCACAGAGGTCTATTACATTTACTTGGACATTGTAAAGAAGAGTTGTGAATGGCAGTCATCTAGTTACTACCTCTTGATCGTTAATAATGACATATGTCTGCAACAATATCTAATGTAATAGATGTTTCTGATGTCAAACAAATATGGGTTGAAGCAAATCCCCTATTGAACAATGGCAGGGTGGTCCATGTAGCATGCAGCACACTGCTCAGTCCTCCAGACGTAAATCAAGTTCTTGCAGCCGGGGCATTCCGCACATTGACATATCTCGCTATGAGGGCACTGGCCGGGCTGGAAACCATCGATGGCCGGGACTGGAGATGACATCTCGGCGGCAGCACCGTCAGCGGAAGACGACGGGGTGATCGTGGAAATTATTGAAGAATGCATGTTAAATGTAGTTGAAGAATGGCTATTATTTCTGTGGGAATGTTGATAGACGTGAGAAGTTTGTCGTCTTGGGTAAAGTGGTAGGAGAGGTTGCGGTAATGCAAGGGCGAGGGTTTCTTTGGTTTGAGGAAAAGGGGCCTCACTTTTATACATACGGAGGAAGGATATTCACGGCGGGTAACGGAGTGAAGTTTCAGGTCATTATGAAGGACTCGACTTTGGTGCGCTTCAGCTACACTTCGCTAGCAAAGTTGCGATGCTGGTTACATGTTACAGGCGCCTGTGTGTATACGTGGTGCGCTGTGCGATCTTCACGGGATTAAAGTCTCATTCAGCGGTGAAAATATGTAGTGTGATCATAACATATCATATCTAGTTTATTTCTTATATCATCATTGCCCTGGATAAGACATCAGTAGTCTCTGAGCACCAAGAGTCGCAAAGCAGATTGCATGCGTCAGGCGAACGACTTTGAGCGCGAAGCCCGAAGAGAATCTTGGCCATACACGTGATATGAAACACTAGATCCGTGCGGAATAGGATCCAGTAATGGGTAAAGATCTTATACCAGACTTCACTCTGTCAGTCACCCATGCTTCACAGCTGTTCGTCTGATTAAGCAGTTCAAAGAACCGTCACTCAATGCCTCGACCGTGTTGTTCACAGCGCAGACAAAGGAGTGAAACAAACCTTTGGACACAAAGCAAGGTCGATCGTGATATCCTTTCAAAGTCTAAACCTAAGACAGAACACCTCTTTTTGTGCACAGAAGACAATGCATTTCGCTAACAACAGCCTCTGCGTCGATAAAGTGTTTGCTGAGCATGGCCGTGAACAAGTGATTCAGAGGATATTGACAGGACAGCCTCGTCTGTTTGGACAGAAGTGTTTGAGTCTTTTTCAGGGCCTATAAATGGCATGTATCTGCCCTGGGAAATTGCAAGAATCATCACTCTCATCACTACAACTTCCACTACCAATTCACAATAAAACATCAACATCATCTTTACACACACATAACAATCATCACCAAGCACCTTCAAAATGTATCCTTCCGTTGTTTTCACTGCTGAGTCTTCGGCTCCCTCTTCACCCACCGAGACTACTCACAGCTACTTCCCTTCCCTCATCCCTGCTGAGTTTGGTCCCCAGCCTGTTCAGTGCCCCCACAGCACTCGGTGCGAGTGTACCGGCTGCAGTGGCTGTAAGAACGAGATTTCTAACTGGAGCACGATGCAGTGCTCTAACTGCAACATGAACTGCCCTGCCTAAGTGTCATTTTCTGATATGCATAGGTTCTTCGTCTCTGGCTTTTATTTCTCTCTATCGGCGAAATTTAGGCTATTAACCTACTCACAGCTGACTTGAGATGTTTGAATTGCTATAGAACTGTTACCTTTGGAGACCTAACATGTTTTAGGCTGGTGTTTCTCTTGTATGCTTTGCGATAGAGAGGTTCAGGTGGAGGAGGATGGATCATGAATCGGTAGTTGATCAGTATAGAGAATGAAAAACTATGAAAGTAGAATATGAGCAGGTTCCTTGGTTTTACACTTTGATTATTTTTGTCTTGCACTAACAAGTGATGTACACTGAGACCCCCCCCCCCCCAGTATGTCATGATGATGACCTCAAGGTCTATCCGATTGGATATAGAATGAATGGATCCTATTTCAGCGCCAATGTATGCACTGCATCTGAAATGTTCAGTCAAACCTCCTGAAATCTGAAACTTATGTATCTAGCTCTGTGAGAAACCCATTTCGTCTCTTATCAGAACTCATTTTCAATTCATACCTCCTTTGATATCCAGCTACTTAGTGTATGCTTACTCGAATCAACAGAGGCGCTCTGGTTACTATGCACTGATTGGGGTCGTCTAATTACATACTCACGGGAACAAGCTTCACAATATAGGGGCATTCAAAGCTCATATCTTATGTACAATGAACGTAGGGTGAAATCTTGCCTAAGAAGGTTCCTGGTGCTGGCAATAAGCCACTTTTCCTTTCCCGTACCATCAAATGTCGAGCACAATGTTTTACATTACAAGAAAGATGGAAGTGTTTTGCTGTTCAGCGGCTCGGCATGACATGCAATTAGCTCCGTTGAATTGTATGTGACTTGTGATGTTTGGTAAGCCTCTCTTTGATTCTCCTCGACGCCTTCAGCTAGCTGCTATGTCTCTCTTCTGCTGTACCCTGAATCTTGCGTGGGGAAGCACAGCAAAGAACAATACCAGCACAGACGCTTACTTCCAAAAATGAAAGGATCAAAACCAACACTAGCGAATATCGCCTATGCGCATTGTAGGTATTGCATCAGCAAGAATATGAAAGACATAAAAAGCCCGCCTGGACTCGAGCCCCAGACGGTATCTAAACGGGGCAGTTGCAATAACACTCGTAGCACTGGAGGCTGGAGATGCAGTAAATCTTCCCAGTACAGCCATCACAGCCCTGGCATCGGCAGCGAATACCTTTTCTGCATTCGTGGGCATGAGGGTCTTGACCTAGAGGGTTAGGATAGTCCTCAGACTTGGCTTCAGAGGGCGACTCGGGGACCGAGACAGAAGTGCAAAGTTGAGGAGATGGCTTCATGGTGGCGAGTGAGTTGAAGATTACCTGGGACCTAGGATGTTATTGTTATTTGGGGATACGTTGGTAGCTACCGATATGACCAGAGGCTGAGTACTTGCCAATGAAATGGTAGACTGAGAGAGCTTGAGATGAAAGAGTTACAGACGAGGTTGATGACGCTGTCAAGAAGGTGGCGAGGCCTGGGGATTTTATACCTAGAAACAATACGTGAAGAGGGCGACTTTTGTTTGTCTAGCATATTCACCTTGGTAAATTGCAGATATTTCATCCGTGACGGCTCCATTATTGACCTCTGAGCAGGAACAAAAGTCCTTTGTCTGATTCACCTCTGGCACTGGCGAAGTGATACGCGCCCAAATGAAGAACAATAGGTCGTGAACAACCGCATGGGCCTGTCTCTCCTTTGTTCTCTCACTGAAAACTCTCCGAGCAAGCATCTGCTAGTCAGATGCGTTTCTATCCGAATAGATTGACTGTTTACCTCTCGCTCTTATCGATACACATGACATGGCGGATGGTGAAAGCAGATGACTGTGACACTGGAAGATTTCGGAGAAATTTATTTGCATAAGCATTTTGAGGCACACGACCCAGTTCATAAATACGAGAAAGAATAACATCTGTGCATCGATTGAGTTAAGCATTCGTATGCACTGATATGGAAACAAACTCTGGTATAACAAGGCGACTGAACTATTGAATATCTATTGGAAGTAGTTCGCCTGCTCTCGGCTTCTGGCCAATGACATTTCGCCTAAAGTCATCTTAGACTCACTAAAAGTGTGATAGCAGTTCAGCTGCACTTGTGCCGCCAATCGGATCCAGCGCTATAGGACCCCTAGAACATCCCTAGACACAAACGGTAGTGGTTTATCGAAGGTCAGCGAGCCACGTTCCCGCCACAGGGGATAGTTCCTGGGCCCAGAACGGCTTTTAATTCATGGGGACGGGCCGAGCCACTGAGATATCACTAATTAATACTGCTATTGGGAGTGATAGCAATCGCTGGCGGGGAGGTTCAGCTCAGCCGTCGCCAGCCTGGGGTTAGCTTCCTGTAGCGGCTGGGGTCTGGGTCTCTATCAAAGCCATAACTGTAGGGGTTGTGCACTTAAGAACCATTGTCTCGCACAAGCGAGCATGTTCTCTCTCTGATTATCTGTCCCTTGAGTTTCCCCTTTCTTGAACCAGAAATATGGCTTTCCGACTTTTGGCGGGCATCACGGGACGCCAGCTCTTGGCTGGCGGCGCTGCGCTTGGAGGAACAGGCCTTGCTGGATCACTGATTCAGACAGAAAGTGAAAGGCTGCAGGCTACAGAAGCTCAAGTGCAGTTCCGTACCTCCTCCATCCACCCAACTCCTGTTGGTTACAGCCCTTGGCAAATCCGTAACGACTATCCCACCTCGGATATTCTCAAGGCGAGCCTCAAGGCACAGAAAGATGATTCGCTCCCCAATGCTCCCTCCTCATTGATCCCAGCCCCCGGATTGCCCGGTGACTTTGAGGGGGAGAATGCGCCGTGGTTCAAGTTCCACTATGAAAAGGAACCTGAAAAGTTTGCTAAGGCCATCAAAGAGTATTGTTTTGATGGCAATGTCGACAACGGGTTCCGACTCAACGAGAACACGGTCCGAGATTGGTACCACGCACCTTGGATGCATTATCGGGACCCAAACTCGATGTGTACGGAGCGTGAGCCCATCAATGGCTTTACATTCGAGAGAGCGACACCTGCCTTAGAGTTCGCTAAGACACAAAATGTGGCCCTACAGAACTGGGCCGTTGGATTTTATAACGCTACCGGTATGTCTAATCATGCTGTATTCCGTCTTGGTCTAACACTCGGCTAGGTGCAACTGTCTTTGGTGACATGTGGAAGGATCCCGATAACCCTGATTTCTCCCAGAACAAGGAATTCCCGGTCGGAACATGTGTTTTCAAGGTAGGGAACCACTTTGCTCTAGCAGAATATTATGACTAACATTAACCAGATCCTGCTGAACAACTCGACGCCTGAGCAGATGCCCATTCAAGATGGGGCCCCAACAATGCATGCAGTGAGTTGGGCTGACCATGGCGCCGTAACCATGATCTCTAACAAGCGTCACAGGTCATTTCCAAGTCAACAAAAAATGGAAAGGAGCGAAATGACTTCGCGTCGCCACTTCGTCTGATTCAGGTCGACTTTGCTATTGTTGACAAGCGATCACCGATTGGATGGGTCTTTGGCACTTTCATGTATAACAAAGACGAACCCGGAAAAGGCGTGAGTGAACCCCCAATTGCCCTTGGCAATTGACTTATGCTAACCTCGTTACAAATTCTCAGCCGTGGGACAAACTAACTCTCGTCGGTCTTCAGTGGGGTAATGACCACTGGTTAACAAACAAGGTCGTTGAGGAGACCAAGGCTGAGAAACACGTGGCTAAGCCACGACAGTGTTATATCAGTAAAGAAGCAGAGAAGATTCGAAAGCGAGAGGGTGGCACAAGACCTTCATGGGGCTGGAATGGTCGCATGAATGGTCCAGCCGACAACTTCATCTCGGCATGTGCCTCTTGTCACTCAACGTCGTCATCCCATCCCATGTATAATGGCAGGGTTAAGGATGGCGTGAAGCAAACCTACGGCATGGTGCCGCCACTAACTATGGAGCCCATCCCCAAGCCTAAAGAAGGCAACACTTTCAGCGATGTCATGATCTACTTCCGAGACGTCAAGCCAGGTGTACCATTCGACGAGGGCGTCAACCCCAAGAATCCGGATGAGAATGATCCTAGCTACAAGAGCAAGGTCAAGAGCGCTGACTACTCTCTGCAGTTACAGGTCGGTTGGGCGAACTACAAGAAGTGGAAGGAGGACCACGAGACTGTGGTGCAGAGCATCTTCCGTAAGACAAGATATGTCATCGGTTCCGAGTTGGCTGGTGCTTCCGATCTGTCGCAGAGAGACCAAGGTCGACAAGAGCCAACGGACGATGGTCCTGTCGAGTGATCATTACGATGCAGTGAGTAGCATTGACAATGTTGGATATATACGAGTTGCATATAATACAGAGTACAATATGCCATGATAGCAACTAGGTGCCTCGGATACTTGGGAATGTGATCCTGATCAATATTCCCAATGCGATAGTTATTTCAAGATGACCCTTATTTTCTTGTTTATTTGTACATCATTCTCCATTATTGTAATCAACGACAGTGAAAATGATAATACCCAGTATTGAACTTCACGCAACTTGCTGTTTAAGCAAGTCCACATCAGTAATGTCTGTTCTCCAAGTAACGACCATATGCATCACTCATCTGGATAAGGGCACTCCAACGGGATTTCGAGAACAACACTGCCTTGACTTCTGATGATATCAATAGGAATAATAAATATAGACTTTTGCCCCTGGGAGATAAAAGGCTTCGGGCCAAAGTATGGCCGTCAACTACACGAGAGGGATGAGTTTGTTTGCTGGTCCTGCTCTAAGATCTGGGTCTTAAGAAGGAAGAAAATGACAGACGTCAATTTCAGTTATTAAAATATACTTGAGAACATTTAATTTAAATTTATACTCAATTACTTAATTCATTTTTATCATTCAGAAGTAAGGTCCCAAGATTTCTAGCCTCCCCTGGCCGAGGACCTTTTGCTCCCGAGACCCGGAGCTCTAGAGTGATTCTATACCATAATCATGCCTTCTGACTGCATGAAGGAGGTCTAGGGCTTACTCGATAGGGCACGAAGTGCTACCCGCTGATTCAGCGCGCTGTCCAGGACAGGAAGGTCACAGGTCATCTTCCAGAATGGTGGCTTACTTCATCGCCAACCCTTATTGAGCATTGATGGCAGAATGGAACAGGTATAAGAGTCTGTAGCCAGTTCAACACTTCTGAAATGATCCGGGGCCCTATGTTGCTGAATTCTCACTCCTGATCTCACTTTAAGCTTATCCTCATCATGTTAACCAGCATTCACGACGAGACGCACGCAAATCTTGCTGCAGAATCAATTGAAGAATTCTTCAATCAAAATCCCTCAGTGCAAGTCGTTATATTGCAATGGGTTGATATTTGTGGAATTTCAAGAACTAGATTACTCCCTACCTCACGCTTTAAGAGCCTCGTGAGAACTGGCGGCTACCTTGATTGCTCTCCATTGGATACACTCGTGCCTACGACCTCTGAGTTCATCCCTCAATTATTTACTCGTTTCAATGGGAAGGGAAAGATACACCCTGATATTTTCTCAATCCGGACTATGAAGCATGATGCATCCGGAATTGGCAACGCAGCTCATTGCGTTGGTACTGTGGACTTCCAGAAAACTGACGCACGACTCCTCTTGAAAGACGTCGTGAAAAAGGCTGAAGAGACTCACGGCTTGAAATTCCTTGTTGGCATTGAGCTGGAATTCTGTCTTCTCGTCCCAGGAACCCTTGAAGCCGCTGAGCCTGCAAAGCCGGGAGTGGCTGGTACTTTCGGCACTCTCCGCTCCAAAGTCTGGCCTATACTTAACGAAATAATTGTTGGCTTCAGTGAAGCAGGTATTGAAGTTGAACAGGTGATAAAAGAGTACGGTACATCGGCGTATGAAGTTGCCCTCCCTCCTCTTCCTCCCATCGAAGCCGTGGACACCTATTACTACGCCAAAGAGCTAATCCAGAATGTGGCACACAAGCATGGAATTCTTGCCACTTTTTATCCAACACCATACGAGGGAGAACAGGGCCAGAAGAGCGGACAGCACATTCACATCTCGGCAACCCCGATGGAGAAGAATAAATACTGGAACCCTGACGACACCCTGGCGGGCATATTGAGCCATATCCCCGCACTCATGGCATTGGGGATGTGCCAGGTTGATTCTTACGATAGAGCCAGTACCGGGAGAATGTGTACCGGCGGCCTTGTAGGCTGGGGTGATAATAATCGAGACATGCCTGTCAGAAGAGTCACCAAAAACCACTGGGAGATCCGTGTCAATGACGCTACCTCGAACACGTATGCCATGGTAGCCGCGATCATTGGTGCTGCTCTCGACTTCAAGCCTCTTACCATTAGAAATGCGGCCAGTAAGTCTACTCAAGCCGAGGAGCACAAAAATTTGCTAATCTTTCTAGATTTCACTTTGATGTACTCCGATGAAGAAAGGGAGAATATGGGACTGACGAAACTTCTCCCGACGTCACTCGATGCTGCACTAAAGGAGCTAGAAGATGACAGAGCGTGGGCGGATAGTGTTCTCGGTCAAGGCTATGTCGATTGGTTCCTTGCACTGAAACAGGCAGAGATGAAAACTGTTTCAAAGATGGAGACCAAAGAACGAAGATTGCATATGCTAAGCTTCTTTTAGTGTGACACCCTAGCGAAAGTAGATGCCTCTGCTCGTTAGGGAAAACAGAAGAATAGACTGGTCTCATATACACCAAGAAGACGCGATAGTTTAGCTCTACATCCATGATATTCACAAACTATTGCCCAGCAATTTTGTCGCCTTTAGGACGTCCTGCATATCCCTTATCCTGAATCTATATCAGGTCTCGAGCATCTTAAAGATCGTCATCCGCTTCATTGCAGAAATCTTCCCATTCAGTCTTCAGGGTTTCAGCACCACCCGAGCTGTTCAGCCGACCAGCATCCCACATGACATAACCCCATTCACGAAAGCTTCCCTTTATATGAGCACCGTAGAGATTGCTATATGTTTCTTTCCAGATGATCACCCAAGCTAGCGGTGGTAGGTGTTCCCCATCTCCTCTAACGGCATTGGCTCCTTACTGTCTTGCGCTTCGTCGCCGTCGGTATAAAACCACTTCCGCCGGTTATGTTGTATATGAATATCTGTTGCTTCGAATAACCAGTCTGTGTCTGACCCAGTGACATGCTGTGACACCAGATCGAGGAGAGCAACATGGTCTTGTGCTTCGAAGATAGATGAAAGTACCGTCAAGCCCAACGAGCTCATGCCAATTATGTAAGACTTATCTAATTCGAAAATTGAGTTATAATCGCCAATTGATTTCCTGGCCAGGGGGACGTACCAAACAACCCAGAACCATCATCACCTAGTAGTTTGGCCAGATCCTCTCTTTTCGCACTTGTTTCAGGATCATCGGGATGGAAAGGTCAGGTGACATCATCAAGAACATTTTTGTACTTGTCCTGAATAAATTCGTCGATGCATGATATCTCCTCAATCGCCCAGGGCTCGAAATTATGAAGAAAACACTGAAGTCTCTCATCATGAGTCCCAATGTCGTGCCGGCTTTGCGTATCCGCGCCAAACAGATTGCAGAACAGCTGATACCGATAGAATGCTCGCTGTATTCGACGAGTCTCCGTGGTACTGATTTGTGTCGGCGAGGTCAATCTGTCGTGTTGTGTTTGAGCCCATGCAGTAAACCGACATACAAGTGACTTGATTATCTTTGAGTGGAAAGCAACAGCAGGAATTATCTGCTGTTTTTCCAGGAGGACTGATTGTTTTCCATGGTATTCTCTGCGCTGCACATCGTAAGTGTCAAGAAACTGAAGAACATTTTCAATTGTGCGACTGGGTCGGAAATCGACTGCGCTGGAAAGTTGCACAGAACAAGCGTCAACAATACCAAGCCCCAATTCAGATTTCAGACAGTGATGAAGCCAGAATGTTGAACGCTGAAGATAGTAACGATAAATTACAGGCAACGCCCGAATCGGGTCATGAAGGTCTGAGGTGCTGCCAATATTGAGAAGAATATGATGCATATCTAAAGGGAGGCGTTCAAACTGAGGCGAATCAACGACCATGTCTGGAGGTGTGCTTCTGAGGGACTTCGAGTGATGAGAGTCTCTGCTTGATAGCATTTTACGCCGACTTGAGCGACGGCTTGTCCTGGGATCTTGTGGGCAGAATATGGAGAACCAGTGGTGAGGGGCGTCAGTAATGTCGATGTCACAGAGGGGAAAAGTCAAACCTGGTTGCCCCAACAATTGTTGCAATGCTGTACCCATGTAGCTGTGATGAATCATGTATGGCCTGTGTGAATTAAATGACGTGTTACATGTAGTTGAGACTTGTGGCTGAGAGCTTGAATCATCAGACAGAACTTAGAATTGAATGACATAGGCATGGCCAGCTGTAGATACCTATAGCTGATCTAAAGTCTCTATGCGGAGATAAGATAAATCCGTGCCCCCAGCTTCAAGCCACATATTGATTGCCCATGCCTCGTCTGACATACAGCAGCAGGGCTATCGAGCCCAATTGGGCAACCCCGGGATTAATAGCAAAATCCGGATCGCGGGGGTATAATAACGTTCGCTTGACCACAAAGGGGCTTGAAAAGATACAATCAAGAGAGTCGTCTTTGTTTATCATTTCTTACGAACTAAGTAAAATCCACTGACAGTGCCGTTCTCACAATAGCCCATCCTTTTCCAGTACGAACCAGAAGCTATGTCTACTCCAAGTCTGACGAATGCCCAACAAGTTAGAGACTTTGTCGAGACAAAACACGACAAGCCATATGATACTATTGACCCGAAGAAGGCAAAACTACCTGAAGGATTTGTCGTATGCATAATCGGCGCTGGAGGAGCTGCGGGTTCAGGGCTGGCAAGGTCTTTTGCTCAAGCCGGTGCCGCCGGCATGATCGTCGCTGCGCGCTCGCAAAAGACGTTGGAGGCAACAACCAATGAGGTTGGTGATATTAATGCATTGATCAAGGTTGCTTCTGTGGCGTGCGACATTACTTCCGATGAGAGTGTAGCCAATATTGCTTCAACAGTCAAGAGCCAGTTCAACGGGAGACTAGATGCCGTGTTCGTCAATTGTGGGTTCTCAGGTCCTCTTTCAAAGGCTACAGTCCTTGAAGAAGACTTTGAGGACGTGCAAAAAGCCTTTTCCACACACTGCTTAGGAACATGGCTTGCCGCGCATCACCTTTTGCCCTTCCTTCTTGAGACCAAAGGCAGTTTTATCGTCATCAGTTCCATCTCAGCTCAAAGTCTTATCGGCTTCGGCACGACATCCCACTATTGTACGAGCAAACTTGCCCAAGCTCGTATGATCGAGATGTTACATGCCCAGTACGCGGATAAGGGCATTTTTGTTGCTAGTGTGCATCCCGGTGGAATGCAGAGCGAGTTCTCGAGGGCAGCATCCAAGGATATTCAGCACCGTGAGTTATCTCCAAGACTTGAGCCCAGTTAAAAGCTTACGATTGCCAGTCTTGACCGATTGCCCAGATCTGGTTGGGGCGTTTTCTGTATGGCTGCTACAATCTGAAGGGAAGGGAAAGCGACAGGGTGTACTGAACGGACGATGGCTGTCTTGCAAATGGGATGTTGCTGAGTTGGAGGGTAAATTTGAGAGCATTCAGCAGCGAGATCTTTTGAGGTTTAGGATGACTGTAGAATGAATGGTGTTTGAGACTTCTGCGGTTTATTGTAACGTCTTCAGGTTATAAAAACACGTTACCAAGTACCTAGGCATGACATTAAGCAAGACCCAAGTTAGTCCCAAAATGATAGCCACCATACAAAACACCAAACAGTCTTACTCTTCGAGCTGTTGATCGCCAGAAGATATTAGATCACCAGTCCGCTTTCTGTGGCTGGTCACTTGGCCATTAACCATATCTATATTGTATTCAGTGAAAGAGAAGTTTTCATCGTCTGACTCCACTGACTCATGGTCCAAACCATCATCGACGAGCGATCCGTGGGGATTAGTGTATGCCTGAAAGACTTGGTTCTGGATACCCGAGATGCCATAGTCGATGCCAGAGAGCTCGTACATCCGCCGCATACCTATGCTAGTGGTGTCTTCATAATTTAGTTTGTTCCATACCTTGCCCGCAGTTCGCAGCATATCCATGGACTCATCGTGATCTAGAGGCAGGATATGACCAACCATGAAAGGAAGTTCCCATTCCTTTAGGGTGAAGTCCGATCCGTAGGTTTCCTTGAGGTAGGGCTCACATCTCGTCCGTATGGCCCTTAGGATCTTCCAGCTCATACGATGCATGGGCAGGTACCCAAACGAAAGCTCATGAACCTCGCCCTGCATGGCCATCACGAGTGATGACAAAACACCGACCGGTGAGATACGAATCTCTTGCTCAGCCGATGGTATCTTTCTCTTCCCTTTGCCCTTGCCTTCAGATTCTGCGCGCAAGAGTATCTCGCTTATGCTCTCTGCTGTCCAGTTCATGCGGTTGGCGTTTCGTTGATATCGGTCCTCAAGACTTTTGTGAATTGAAGCACGCGTTGTGAGAAACCGTGCACCAGCGCGAGAGAAATCTTCAACGACCATTTTATTACCACGCCGTCTGTTTTTAGTAAACACCGCTGCAGAGACACCAGTTTGCAGCATGAAGCGCTTGGCATAATCCGACACTTTATCGGGTCGACCACCAACAAAGAACTGTTCTTCCCCAAACATTTGAAACAGCCGATCCATATCCACCCAGTTGCTCTTAATACATTTTTCCTCTAGAAGGGCATTGTACAAGTGTCCGGGTAGAATGAGAGAACCCCAAGCATTGGTAACTTTGAGGCCAGCCTCGTGCATCTCCGCCCGATGATAGTACAAGGCCAAACCAGCGATCACCGGGGATCTTCTCAAGATTCGCCACTTTTTGGTTCGTGCGAGGTGAATCAAACCCTCCTGTCTGGTGGAGCTGTTATCGTTCGCCATCGTCTTTGCCTTGTGCAATGGATCATCGAGAAACCAGTCAAAGCCTTCATGAGTAACCTTCAACCACTTGTCATCGCGCGGCGACCAATGAGGGCCTTTGATGCCCTGCTGGAAGTCAATATGCGACTTCAAATCCTGGTTCATTCTGTCAATCCGGTTGAGAAGGGTATTGACAGAGGATTCGGCATAACTGCCAACAACCTGATGGATGTCGAGATTGACTTGAGCAGCAAAGACGAGGCTGAAGGGAACTTTCTTCGTCTCCTTAAACTCTTTGACACCTCGAATGAACTCGTCGGTACAGGGGTAGTCAGGAACATGGTGGACGAGCGCTAAAGCCTCGAACCAGAGTTCGGTAGTAATAACTTGATGATCGGTCATCTTCTGTTCCACAGTCTTAGACTTCCAGGGAATCTCAGGTTGACAAACGCCAAACGACCCTTCCGAATAGATGCTAGTAACACCTCTCCATGGGACGAGAGATAGAGTCAGGAGAGTGGTCTCGGTGAGATAATAGCAGTGGGAGAGAGCGTCATAGAACCCGTGTCCAGTCGACGCGTCCTTCAGATAAGGTTCGAAATCGCTCCCAGCTTCTCCATTCCAAGCTGTGGTGCGCAGCATGTACTCCCTTGCCATAGCAGTGGTCCCACCGTGCTTTTGAAAGGCCGGCATAGCATCTTCTGCGATGCTTCGACCGAACTCGACAGCTGTATTGGTCACCACAGCCAATACACCAGGGTCGTTTCTCTGTACACCATTTTCTTTGCTAACAAACTCTGACCAGAGGTTTGAAATATACTTTCTGACCTCAGCCAAATCCTTGCACATCATGCAGAAAGCAATGAGAGCCTCATCAAGTGACTGTGACGGGTCAACTTCATAGACGGCTTCTTCTTTCTTCGTTGGCTCGGGCCTCTGAATGTCTGGTGCGTTGAGGAAATCCTCCGAGGGTTCATATACCTCCAGAGCATCAAAGGTGTTGGTCAATCGATCGACTGTGTCAGTAGCAGTGGAAGCAGCTGTGTCGGAGAAGGGCTTGAGTATGTCGCGGACATTTTCGAGGATTCCGACAAAGTACGAATGCCTGGCATCTGACTTGACATCTGGCTTCTCATTGTGACGAAGCAACTGATCGCTGAAGCCATTTCTCACAGAAATGACCCGGTTGAGGGTGCTGAAGAATGCTTGTGGAATGGCCAGAGCTGGCTTTTTGTAGTTGGAGATGCTTTCAGCAAGAGGAACAAAGTCTTTGACCTCAATGACGTATCGAGGTCCTGCCTTTTGAGACGCCGGCTTACTAGGCGCAGCTTTGGCTTTCTTCTTAGCTTCGACTCTGGCTTTGCCCTTGAGTCGCCCAGCCCCCGCAGTTTGTTGCTTGGTGACACTGACGGGGGTGTTGGACAGGAGATGGGCGGGATAACCGCATTCTTTGACTGTTGAAGCGAGCCATGATGCAATTGAGTTGGTATCCTTTTTGTACTCACGGTACACGCTGACCAATGCTGGTGGCAACATCTTGGTCAAGGGAAACGTAAGTACGCGTTGACGGAGATGAGGGGAAACTGCTGCGGGTCGCGTCATGTCACGTCAAGTCTCAGACGATGCCTAGTGACAAGAACAGTTAGCCGTACCTAGTGAGAGACAGGTCTGTCAAATGATAAAAAATGCATCAGGCTTAAGCTTCAATTGATCAAGAGAATGTCATGTATAGGTTATTTCGTGTCCCTGTGCCTCGCTTAGTGGTGCTGTCAGCCTTATACCACCTACCATAACGATCTTTCCTTTTCGAGTTTAGGTTTTTGGAGAGGAGTAGGCCTTTTAGACTTTTTTCCCCGCTCATACTGGACTGTTCACGGGCGGAACTTGTCCAACCAATTACACAAGGGTAGGGCTGACGGTGAAGATGCCAAGTTCAGGTCCTACAGCTTGCAACTTGTCTCATGACTAATGGCCAGGCAGCAGATTATCACTTGGAAATCTATTTTTTATCAATATTCATATACGGCTACAAATCATCGGATCAATCGTAGCTTCAGCAAATCTACCCCAGTTCTTCCAACATGGAACAGTCTCTATGCGATACCTGCGCCAGGATAAATATTGAAGAACTTGTCTCTGAACAGGGTTTTGCTTTACATAGGAATCTCCTAGACCTTTACAAGTCAGTGAGGACATGCCAGTTGTGTCGTCATGCCCTGGGTTGCTTAAAGCCTCTTTTACCACTCAACTTGAGAAGCATGCCTTGTCGTCATGCAATGAGACTTCTGGGCTCAGAAAGCTCGAAACCCTCTCTTTCCGAATCGAACCAGAAGCTTCTGGCTTCTCAGAAGGCTCTAGCCTTTTATGGACAACATAACCACCCGAAACACGGCTTGACTATAGTGGTTTCGGACGTCGACCCGGAAGCTCCTAGCGGGCGCGAACGAAGCATTCCTTGGCTTACAATGAGGACTCTTGCCGGGGATCCTGCTCAGCAATCAGGTGCCAAGACAGCTCGGCCAATACCAGAAAGCACGTCTAGTTTAACTTCAACTGTTCATGCTTTGGAGTGGCTGAAGAAATGCCTTCTGAGCAAAGATTGCTCCGAAGGCTGTACACACATCATTGACAACGATCTTCAGGAGTGTCTTACGAAGACAGATGGAAATAATAAAAACTCGGAATCAATTTCTCTGTTAGCGGGACTTGACAAGTCGTTTCAGAAACAAGAAATGCGAAGGGTGCAATTATGCGAGGACATCCAGTTCTTACACCAACAAAGGGGCCTCTCACGAGGCGACGCACTTGTCGAAGAAGAGTGCGCCGCAAGACTTGTCGAGATCATCGATACGGACCAGGGTACCAAGCTCAAGATAGTGCCGGGCTCAGTTAGATATTCGTCGTATGCCGCGTTGAGCTATAAATGGGGCAGCCTGGATGCTATCTGGCAAACTACCACCAAGAACCTTGGTACGCGACTGACAGAGTTCAATATCGTTGAGCTTCCCAAGACTCTTTCTGACACTGTTCAAGTTGTCAGAAATTTTGGTCTGAAATGGGCTTGGATCGACAGTCTCTGCATTGTTCAAGATGATAAAGACGACTGGGCAAGGGAAGCCGTCAAGATGGCCTCTATTTACCAAAACGCCCTCGTCACTATTTCTGCTGACTCCAGCCAAGACGCCAAAGCAGGGCTACACAACGAGAAGTCTTGTTCCATTTTCAATGACAGGGATAGCGTCAAGATCTGCAGCCAGCTCTCAACTGGCGAAGAAAGCTCAATCTTTTTGTTCCCAGAACAAGAGACAAGAATTGATCGCTCGGCTACCAATCTGCGAGATATGGGTGATCTTCTAAGTCACTGCGCGCTCCGTGACCGAGGATGGACTATGCAAGAGCGAATACTGTCCCCCAGGATCATCCACTTCGCTTCTGACCAGCTCTATTGGGAGTGCTTACACGGAATCCAGGAAAGTGAAGATGAACTTCTTTGGATGGGCCGTAACATGAACATGGCAAAGATAGCACATCGGATTAACTCTGCGGAGAACGAGGAAGCAAAGAAGAAAGAACTCAAACAGATGCTGCGCTACTGGTATGTTCACCTTGTTGGGGGAGACTACTCGCATCGTTCTTTGACATTCATCGACGACAAACTACTCGCTATTAGTGGAGTAGCCAAAGCCCTTGACAACATTCACCCGTATGGTTACATGGCTGGCCATTGGTGCGAAGACGACGATGAGCTCGTCAAAAGTCTCTGCTGGAAGCGCGGTGGCTCGGGCAAGAAGGCGGCCAAGTATCGCGCGCCATCTTGGTCATGGGCCAGTCAGGACTCAGCAATTGATTATGGTCATTTCAGTATAATAGGAACTAACTTAGGTGAGAAGCTCGTCGCAGAACCTGTGGCTATGGAGGGTCAAAGTCCAGATGGCACTCCATTCGGCCAATACGATAACGGGTATCTTCAGATCAAAGCCAAGGTCGCGCACGGGAAATTATTCCCAAACTGCGGGCATGATTTCAGCAACTATCAACAGACTGGTGCCTCCGGTGGTTACGATGTTGATCCTCTGAAGGAGAGATGCGCGTTTCTGCTGCTCGATGGCGGAGAGACGTCTGATCTAGTCTGGCTAGACGAAAGCCAGGCAACTAAAGAGCCTATCACAGAGCCCATCGACGTTCAAGTCGTCATGATTTCTGAGATCGAATCTGAAGAAGAAGAAGGGCCGCGTCCTGGAGCTTGTTTGATCTGTACTTTGGACGAGAAGTACTGCTTGACGAGAATTGGGCTCACAGAGTCTCTGAAGTACTACAAAGAGGGGCAGGGTGAAGAGTCTCCTCCGGTTTCCGGGTCGCGTCTTTGTGATAAGAAAGCCATTACTTTAATCTTGATTTAGTCGCCTATGCAGTGTCATAGCTTACAATCGTAGTGGCGGTGATTCGGCCGAGCGGCGGTCTTCTAATCTTGGCGCTCTGCAGGCGTTAATCCTCAGGAAGCAAGAAACTCCTGGCATCAGATCAGATGCCACAGCAAACGTGCCTGATAAAATATGCTAAATTTACCCAAATCTGTTCATCACTTAGACAAGAGTCCCCACGTTATCCTCTTGCTTTGTTGGACATTCCTTCGTTGCAAGTCCCAACATAGCATTTATCCTAGGTATTCACCCGCTATGGAACTCATTCGTCTGAGACAGGGGTTTAGCCAGGATCACCGGTCAATTATATGTCCTAAGTCCGGCGGTGCCCTGTCGAGTGTACATGGTCATCTGATGGGTTTCTGTACAGCTGGCTTGCGCTAAGTGCACTGCAAGAGCATAGCTAGTTGACTACATATACGTTCTTCGAATATCCCCTTTACTACACTGCACGTGGACTCATTGCTCTTCCGACCCTCATCACTTCCGTCACCATGTCTTCCACAACGAGCCTATGCGCGAGGCGGATGGACCGACTCTGACTGCGACCGCAACGGCATACATCGATGTTTCCAGAACGCTAGACACGGAGGCCCTGTCCCGCATCCTCAGCGACGAGTATGGTCACCGATTTGCCCCGACCTGGTATAACCTTCCTGGATCCATGGATCGCCATGGCTTGATCGCTCGACTGAATCAGGTTGGAGAGGTCATGTCTTCATTCCCTGTCACCATCAAGCAGATGTGGCCCAATCCGTCGCTACGACAGGTCCTCGTATGGGGAAAGTCTGAGACCAATTTCCGAAGGCAGTTGAGGGACAGTGATTATGATGAAGAATGGACGAAGCGGGGAGAGTATATGTTCCTGGTGACCATGAATGAAACTGGGGAAAGGATAACAGATGTACTTGAGTTTGTGGATAGTGAAGGCATAGAGGATATCGCTGGCCTGGTGGCCAGAGCATTGGACTGGAGGCTATCGGCTACGTAATGAAGGAGGCAATGCGCCAGGATGCTTTAGGCACCAAATATTTTATCCAAATACTGGGTATATGTATTCCGCTAGCAATGATATGTGACTGTGAAATCCAAGTCTATGTAAAAAAGAATGTTGTGTCAAGTCCAGTTATACGCTTTCCTCCTGCGTCAAAGCCAACTCGTCCTTGGCTTTCAGCTTTTGTCGCTCACCACGTCCCATCTGATATAGTCGAGACGCTCCGTAGAGCTGGGTTGTGATCCACAGGGAGAACACCAAGGGGGTAATGATACGCCACTCAAGACCCCAGCGATGCCACGATCGGTTGAGAAGATATATCGTAACGGCGACCTCGGTTATAGCTCCTGTAACCTGCCAGACACAGCATGTATAGGCCATACGGGACAACAACAGAGTGTTGTGGCGCTTGGTTCGCCAGACGATCATCATAAGGAAGATAGGGAGCTCGACGATGACATCGAATGTACCTAAAGAAAAGATGTTGTCAGCATATTTCGATTCGCGAGATTGCAAAGGCTGGTGGACTAACCCCAGACCATGCACATGTAGAACTCCAGTGTAGCTTCGTGATGCTTGTCGTGATCAGCAAAAAGACTCAACGCTGTCTGTGTGATGACAAGGAGTCCAGTATGGTGCGCAATGCTGAGAGGGCTCGCGAACTTGGTGCGAAAGCATATTTCGAAGATATAATACGAACTGTAGACTTCGGAAAGAACAAGCAGACTGTCTCCGATCGTGACAGAGCTGCCTTTAGTGAATGGCGTAGAGAATTTGGCATCGCCGATGAGGAAGTACATCAATGGATAGCAGCCACTGCAAAGAACGCAGAAAAGAATAATGCTGCCAACGTGGAAGTAGACAAAAGACCGCCGTCGCCTTTCATCCTTTGTTCGTTCGAATGTTTGGCAGATATCTTTGTAAACAGCTGGTAAGATCCATCGCTCAAGGCAGTTGGTAAGGAGAACAATGCAGATGATGCTGGTAGCAAGTATTAAGGAGCCGTATGGTAAAAGATGTGAAAGGGGGTTATTTTCGATGATCTGGATCTTGGGTACAGATACCCGATGGGCATGATGGGCTGAATCAGACATTATAGCGAGTGGGGAATACAAACGAAAGCAATTAATCAAGCAAAAAGTGTACAGAAGAAATGAATTGTCAAACTGCGGAGAAGAGGCCATGATTCTGTATTTATCCTCGCATCATTTGTGCCTCACTGACGCAAAGTCGCCTACTAAAAGGGAGAGTTGCCCACGCGGCTCAAACCGAGGAACGGAGCAGGCAACAAAGAAGCAGAAACTCAATACGAGAAAGCCAGCGCTTCTCAAGCGAGGCAAAGCCGTAAATATTCAACACCCTGGGATTGGTTCTATCGTAGACGCCTCCATACGAAAAATGCCGAAATCCTTCTAGTCGCGGGCCTAGAATCGCGTCTAGTCTCGTCAGTGGTCAACTCGTAAGATTCGGTCCGGGGTAGCTGAGGCGGAGCAGGACAGATTGCTCCACTTGGGCGAGCCGTGTTTCCGTGGGCAGATTACGCGGCTGCGGTTCCTCGGCAAGATGCGAGAATTAATTTGGTGCCTTGTTGTGTATACGTAAATGATAGTGAGAAGGGGGGGTCTGTGCTTGGGGGTCTCACCTCGTGAGAAAAGGGTCTTGTTCGGGATTGACAAGCCGATCAGGGGTCGGTTTTAGGCTAGGGCGCTTTTGAGTTTGTATCAGAAGGGATTTACACATGCATTGGGGGGATAACACGGCAGCATGTAAATGAGGTATGTTATAATTGGGTAGAGAATCTAACATGAGCAACACTCCAACTATAACTCTCGTATACTAACATTACCAACTTAATCTGTTTCTTCGGGGACTTCAGGACTGGGAATGGGCTCAATATTTCAGCTTGTAGATTCAGCCATCAGTACGCTTCGACCAATCTTTGGACTTCAACAAGTTTAGTACAGACAGCTAAGATAGGCTATAAGTCTTGGCTCTGAGCTTCTCTCAAAGCCAAGTCCAACAAAATTGGGTCATCTGGGCTACCCCTAGTTAGATTATTGCATGCATGACTTGCATGTTGAACCTTGCCTCTGTTTGGGCCAGATGACGTGGCTTGATTTTCGCGAGAAACAGAGTGAAAGGGGTCTAGCTTCAGAGTTGTTAGGCCGTGCCGTAGCCGTTGATGGAATGTCGCACTTTGGGTTGAAGTTGTCGGCACTTACTTATCTGGGAATGTTCAATGACGAGGGAGTAAGACGGCCCCACTTTCGGCGCTGAACTTCCGATGCAACGGCGCAGTTACGGCATCACGGCATTGTTATAACCGGAATGTTCCTGCAGGACGTGCTTTTATTAAGGCCAGCCTCGCATGAATGAATCTTGGGGCTTCTCAATTGCCCACTTATACCCGATTGATGGTGAAAGAAGCATTCCAACCTTTGTTTCAAGCGACAAAAAGACTCGAACAATCTTGGTACATCAAGCTTCTAAGCTAGTCAGTTATTTTTGACGCCAGGTCTACAAGATTAGAAGAGTCTAGCGCCCTCGAGCCGATATCCGTTAAGTCGAGCCTTAGTCTCGTATCCCTAGATTGAATAGCTGCGAGATAGCCAGGCAATGTAGTACTGAGAATGCATATACAATTCTCTCATAGCCCAGCATGAACTTTTCTCTTGTATTCCTACGATTCTGTGATGCTTCGGTCGTTGATGAAAACCACCAACAGGATGATTGGGCGGCGGAGTTTGGTGCCTGAGGTTATAGGACTAGCGCGATGGACATCTCGAACTACAGCATCAAGCGAATCTTGCTTCAAGCATGCGTACGGGGTCTCAAATCGATGAAGAGCAGCCTCTAATACAGCTGAATAGTTTCTCTATATATACTATCACTCTCAAGCAAGTAACTCTGCGATGAACGACTCTCCGCAACAAACTCCGAATATTCCGAGATACCCGAACGCGCCGAGAACGGAGGCTGCAGCAACTCAGCCGCCGGATTTGAAGAGCATACTGCGCGTGAGGCAACTTGCGCGTATCCGAAAAGCTTGCTTGCCCTGTAGAGAGAGAAAAGTGCGCTGTAATCATCAGCAGCCCTGTCAAACATGTATCAAGCGCGGTCACTCTGACCTCTGCTTCTACGACCAACCTCGGGCGTCATCAAGTCCAACTCCGCGGCCTCACCAACCAGAACTACAGACTACAGCTGACTTGAGTCACGATAGTAACAATGCAACACAACCTGGGCGCCCCGTCAGTCGCAATGGCAGTGTATCTAACGCGAGTCCGTCCTTGTTAGGTGACAACTCCATCATCTCAGTAGCTAGGCCAGACACTACCCAACCTCATACCAATAATGAGCGTCGCACCGCGTTTGAAACAGGAATTCTTCCTCTTCTCGGGATGGATGGCGCTGCCGATGGTGGACGTGGCACCCCTGCAGGACGTTCAGAAACAACCGTTGCTGTTGACCAGGACATGATAACTCTGTTTGGCTTCTATCGGGATCGACTTCACTCCTTTGTGTTCGTCGTCGACGATCTCACTGAGATCGAGAAGCTCATTTGCTCTCTTTTGAATCGCGAAGTTCAGGCACAGCAGGTCGACAATCATAGCCTTTGTCTACTTCATGCTATTATGGCGGCTGGGGCGCAGTTCTCGGACTTACCCACTGCTACACGACTATCCAAGTCCAGTCAAAATTGTAAGCATCAGTTCTCCTCTTCCAGTCGCTTACAAGTAACTGACCACCTCAGTGCACTCCGCTCTCAAGTATCTGGGGTCCTTTGATCTGTTATGGAATCCTTCCAAGAGACTTATCCAAGCTTTGCTCATCCTTGGTCATGTTTTGCAAAATAACATGAATCCTCGTGCAGCTTGGATCCTAGGTGGTACCACGGTTCGAGTTGCGCTATCCGTTGGCCTTCATCAGCCCATTAACCACTGTTCTCTTCGTCTCTCGCCTGCAGAAGCACAGCAGTTAAGGTAAATTCCTCAGCAAATACCGTTTGTTTTATGACTACTGACGTTTCCCTTATTCATAGGCTCGCGATTGTTTGGCAAGACGCACTTCTCTCATTAGCATTTGATAGACCCCCAGCATCTCATGAAATGGACCTTGACTTAGATCTCCCAGCTCTGGTAGCACTAGATCCATCTAGCCATCCTCTTGACTACCGACAGGCTATGAACTGGCTATGCCATCTGAGCTTCAGACACCTTCCAAGACTTCCCCGGACAGAACCGGTCAGGAACTATAGCCAGCTCTTTCATGACTTCGACCTTTACGAGTCTTCTCTAGCTCCTCACCTGCAGGACTTGCAGAGATCTACCTCGATCCAAGAGCTACAGGAACACTATAGCCAGATTGTCCACCGTTACTTTCTTCTCTCTACCCTCTGCCGCCCTGTACTGTCCTCGCAGAACAAAGGAAAGTTTAGTGAGGAAGAATGCTCTATGATATCGAACCGCTTCCAAGGTGCTCTGAAGCGCAGCGTTCGTGCTTTCATCAAGCTTCGCTCAATCTCAAATCTCGCAACCCGTTCATGGGCCTTCGTTCACAACGGTCTTGCCTCAGCACTCTTGTTGAGCTTTATCCGACAAGGCTCTGACGCCCAAGATCAAGACTCTCAAGAAATACTAGCTGAGCTAGTTAAAACGCTAACTGAGCGCAGCGACGATGTTGGACAGTTCTCTGCGGCACACAAGAAAGCTCTCAGGGCGATTCAAGCTCTACAACGATCTTCAGTGGAAGAGACCAGAGGCCAAAGTGAAAATTCATCGCAAGAGCATCATCCAATAGCAGTCTCTCCAGAAAATATGATTGTTCTACCAGAGCAACACTTTGGTAACACTCCGGAACCAAGGTTTGTGTTGCAGCCCTCCCCACTGTTCAAACATACTGACCGATCTCACTACAGCATGGTTAGCTTGGATGATTGGCTTCGAGACTTTGACTTTGACGCATTTTCTCCCCTTGAATCATACAATTTCATCATGTCGGACCAGGTGCCACAAGATTTTGGTCTTTAGGTCCCTATCTGCCTGACGAATGCCATTTTTAGAGGAGATGTACTAAGCTTATCATAATTGTTCAAATAAAAATGTTATTTTATGATGACATGTACTAAACTTATCATAAATCTTCAAATAGAAATGAGATTTTATGATGACATATATAAATATTCCAGTAATCTCTACATAAGATGTCCCAAATTATTTCAGGCTGTTGAAGCCCAAGGCTTGCCATCGACTGCAAACCCTGTCTTTGATCTCCTCCGGAAACGAGTTTTCAAAGTCCGCTGCTTCCCAGTTCTTCCCAGTGGTATATTCGACTGGCAACAAGCTGTCAGAGACAACCTTTCCCCCGCGATTAGGCGCTCCATTACCATGCGACATGTATGGAATGAGAGGAAATCCAGCAACGTCTTCAAAGAAGTACTCGTCCATTCCGGGGCGGCAACGAGTACAAAAAGCCCAGATTACATCCTTGAAATCGTACACATTGATGTCATCACCGACGACTACCAAGCGGTGGATCGTATAACCGACCTTGTGATTGAAGATGATGTCTCCGATTTCGCGGCAGAACTTCTCAGACGTTGTCTTCATCTCGCGTAGCTTCTGAGTGTCGACCTGCAACGCAACCCATGTAACTTGAGACTCGAAAGGTGAGAAGGCTTCCTTGATGGGGAGACCTTTCGACTTGAGAAGAAAGCCGATCTCTGCGGCAGCAAGAGGACCAATCATCGTATGCTACTGGAGTTAGTCACGGTCCTCAAGCAAAATGAGCGAATACTTACAGTTTCATCGGTTAGCCTTCCGCAGTTGGAAACGGGCAGAATTGCATCTTTACGGTGCGTGATGAGGTCCACCGTATACTTTGGCCAAGGGTGCGCATCGCCAGGAAATACGTAGCTATGTGACCGTCAGCACTGGAAGAAAATAGACAGCATTGCAGACTTACCCGTGCATCTCCCCAAAGGGTCCTTCAGGTGCTGTATCCGTAATAGAGCATGTCCCCTCAAAGACTATTTCCGAGTTGGCGGGTACATAAAGTCCATTGGTCTCGCACTTGACGACATCAAGGGATGATCCGACGAGCGAACCAACATACTCAGCCTCTGACAATCCGTCAGGGAGTGGCATACTCGATGCCATGATGGCAGCAGGAGGGACTCCAAAGGCCAAAGCCCAGGGCATATCACGGCCTTCTTTCTTCCACATCTCGTGAATCTGGTAGAGGTGTTGCGGCTTGATCACCAATCCGGCAAGGTGGTTACGGTCGTAGACCATCGCACGAGCAATAGACCAGTTGGTCCATCTGCCATCTGGGGATTGTACAATGTGCATTCCGTAAGTTTGAACGTATTTTCCACCATCTGATTGATGAAGCAATGGTGCTGGAAGCTCGGTAAGGTCAAACTGGTCGGGTGTCAAGATATGCTCCTTGCAAGGACCAGTCTCAACAACCGTTGGCGGGATAGGAGGTGTTGTTTTGGCAGCGATCATCTTATCCAAGATAGCCTTCATGGAAGAGTCTGTAGGAAGTCCGAGATGTCTGGCAAGTCTACCATAACGCTGCTTGGGGTCAGATCGAAGGGAGTTCGGTGCACCCAATATTCTCCATAAGCCATTCTTATCCTGCCCCTTGAGCTTGTTGAACAGGGGAGCCTTTTCATTATTCTCGACAACCTTTCGAATGATGGCGCCAACTTCAAGATGAGGATCACACTCTTCATTGATTGAGACAAGGTCGCCGTCGGCTTCAAGAGCTTCAACGTAACTGCGGAAGTCCATATGAGGAAGAGTTTTGGAAGCCATGACGATAGTAAGTCTTTACTGATTCTTGACAGGTATCGCCGATATGACTGCCGGGCTTCTACAATTCTTATATCTTCATCGACCTCATACTATTTACTCTGTTAATCGTATGACGCATGATAGTCCGAGGCCCCGAGCCCACCGAGTCCACATCTGCCGAGCCGCAATATCCGGGAATGTGGGCCCCGAAGGCACCGAAGGACCCCGAACTGAGCCTCAATGCTACAAACTGACGGGTCTGGTATGACATGGACTCCGCTTAAGAAGAGCCGCATGTCCTATCGATCGGTTACCTATGAGCACCATAACTATTTTGTCTTTTTGAATTAGAAGCTGGGAGCAGTCTTTATTCTATCGGTTACACGCCAACTTGTCTTCACGCTCTACATCGCAACTCAGCTCTTTAAGTTCAATATGGGAGAGGCACCAAGAAAGAAGATTATCGTAGCCCTAACCGGCGCGACAGGAGCTGCCATTGGCATTCACGTTCTCTCAACACTTCGAAGACTGAATGTTGAAACTCATCTCATCATCAGCAAATGGGCAGCCGAGACCATAAAATACGAAACAGACTACACACCAGCTTCAGTGAGAGCACTAGCAGATCATGTCTACAACCCAAATGACTTAGCCGCACCAATTGCAAGCGGGTCATGTCATGTCGATGGCATGATCGTTGTCCCCTGCTCGGTAAAAACGCTAGCTGCCATCAATGCCGGCATATGCGATGACCTTATCACTCGCGCTGCAGATGTCTGCCTCAAAGAACGAAGGAGGCTAGTGTTGTCATTGAGAGAAACGCCGCTAAGTGAGATACACTTGCGGAACATGATGGAGGTGACAAGAGCCGGAGCGATTATTGCACCCCCTGTTGTCGGATTCTACACAAGACCAAGCTCAGTAGATGATATATTGAATCAGATGGTCGGTCGGTTATTGGACTTGTTTGGCCTGGAAGCTGGGAATTTTGAGAGGTGGGAGGGTATGACGAATGGGAAATCCTGAGTGTAGGCTTTGTCACTTTTGATGGTTTTCTTTCGCGAATAGATTCATGGCTCGGGGTGCGTAAGATAGACGATTTAGCACACAGGTATAAATTTGGCAAAATATGAGTTTTGTCAAGGCAAATGGTAAATCTTAGTGACAAGTGCAAGTAATGTGTTTTAAGAAGTACCAGGAATAGACATTTTTTCCACCGAATGAACACACTGGAGATAAACAAGTAAAAAACACCGGTGTTGTAGGAGCATAACTATAACAATATTAAAATTAACTAATAGATGTAGCTATAATAAAGACTATTTATCTCAGGTTTCTAAGAGTTTTCTAGTTTTTGAGTCTCCATCCAGATCCTGCAGGGTAACTCAGCAAGTAAGCCACAGTTGAAGCTTTCTACGACACTGTGCTCAACACTGTGATATGGCGCCAAGCAATGCGTTTGCTTTACGGAACAACTGAACACCCGAGTGCACAGACCATGTCCTTTGAATCACGGAGCTTCTTCACTCCAAACAATGATAACGTTTCCCATTCTGCTGTAGTCTTTCCCCGTTAGTTCTTCTTTTCAGTAAGTAAAATCTTCAGCTCTCATGATCCTGTTTCCTAAGTCAAAGATTTCTTTGCTTTCCTTTCTCTTTGAAAACAAGCTTAAACCATTACTGCTTCCATGGTCACGTGACTACCCCACAATTCCTTCAACTCCATTCGCATTCACGCTCTGGCCAAAGGCTGCATCATGACCATCCTCACCCGACCGAAGGCACAACCATCTATCAAGAGAAGCGTTCCAACTTGTTCTTGCAGCGTGCTGAAGATCAAGTGGGCTCGCTGATCGAGATTTCGCTCCTCGACCGACCCTCCTCGCGCCCCAACGATAAGCACGTTCAGAGACCCGGTGAACCGTCACTGCAGACCGTTATAAAATTCCGACTTGTACCCATCGAACGTGCGCGGTGCGCCCTTTGTTGGAACAACCGGGGACTGTAGAAGGGATCTGGCTTGGACTCGCAGCGTTGCTGGAGTTCAAGCGCGGTCTTGCAGCATTGCTGGGGACCACAGGTTGCCTGTTGACGGAGCTGGTTATCTCTGCTCGTGTCCCGTTGACGGCGTCAAGGTACGTCTGATGCTCGCTGTGCTACTGATGGATTCTAGGAATGTCGTCTTCCACCTCGCCATGTCTTGACGTCGATGAGACTACGCCCGCCGTTGTTGAGTGGGAACACGATGGCGTAACCCACTGCTTCGCGAAGCCCGATCCCAAGATTGACAGCATCATGCTACGAATTCATCTGAGCGAGCTGAGCGCAACTGTCGAGCTGCGGTTTCCGATGAACTTGAAAGGAGTCGAAGGCATTTCACCTGTTGCGGTCTCCATCGATCCCTCTTCCATCACATCATTCGACTTCGCCTTTGCTTCAACGGCACCGGAAGCGGTGCAAGAGAAGTTTAAGCGCCCCGTCGTGTGTCTGAAGTTCGAAACAAACAAGAACATTCGGCTATTTGTTCCCACCGCTGCCAAAGAACCGTTGGCCCCTAGCCGAACACAGTCAGGGAAGGTGTTGGATGCTCTTCGCAAACTCTCTGCCACAACCTCATTCGGTATTTACGTCGATGCTACTAAGCTTTCCAAAGCTGAGCTTCAGTCCATAAGCGACGCCGTGAAACAAACTCGCTTGGCCTCTTTCCACGACCAACCTGCGAATACTGAGACGAAGGTCATCGATCTCTCCCCGCAAGACGACGCGCCGCCGGCCTACGACGAGACTGGTTCTCCACCGCCAGCTCCCCCAATCAATGAGAGAAAGCGCCGCCGCATTAGCAGCTCGGACGAGGCACGAGATGAACTCGCTCAAATTTGGGCCGAGCTCAAGGCGCGGAGTGAAAGGGATCGACTCGTTCACCAGGAACTCTCAGCCCTGAGACAAGAGAACAGCAGCCTCAGAACAGATCTCGATCAGCTACGCCAGCAAGTCGCGACTTTTCGCGAAGACTTTGGCTCCCTGCAGCGTGATGTCGAACAGCTCCAAGGCCAGGACAAGCACAGCACTGATGTCCTGGAAGGCTACGATACGCGCCTGGTCGAGCTACGAGACGACCTAGAGGATCTGGATGCCAAGGTAGACTCCATCCAGGAGCACAGAGACGAAAATGGAGTCGCACAGTCATTCCTCGACAGGGTTCGCAGTGATGTGTACGACGATATTGTCACCCGTCTTACAAGTTGAAACACTCGGGTTATCGACTGTCGGTTAATACTCAAACCAAACTCAGCGTTCATCTCCTGATGTTCCGTACACAGCGCCGTTGCCGCCCAGAGTCATGCCTGCATTTTTCCATTGACTGCCAGCGTGGCGCTGGCCGAGGACGGATTCGCCAAAAAAGCTTCAGTCCAGGTCGTTGTTCCTATGAGCACGATGATGCCATCCTCTTCACCTTGGGTAGCTCTGCCTCCAGCTGAGAAACCGCTGGGCACTACGGCAAGGCTTGCCTTCGCTAAATGGACCTGTGCCACTCTGCGGTGATACTGGTAATGGCGCGCCTGGTCTGGAGGGCTCACTTGCACCGCACATGAACCTCGTAATGTACGTCTTGCCTTTGTACCACAATAGATCTGGCATATCCTGACTAATTCCTTACAGAGTGATGGGATCTTCCTTTACACACTACGAACCCAACCCAAACACGCGCTTCCTTACGGTCTCGCTAAAGTCGATGCCCCAACAGACCGCAGCCTACATCCACGAGTCTCGATCCCCAATAACAACGACGAACAACCTCGTCACAACACATATCCTCTCGTCCGACACGACGATCGCAAGAGGAGGCTTGGTGCCCTCGTCATGGGTGACACAATATCACGAAGCGATTTCTTCGAGCACTATACGCACGGTACTGGGGCTGCTCAGCCTTGATGATGTTCCACCGAATCCGATTTATAAGCATTGCATCTTGTCATTTTGTTACAGAAAACCTTTTTGTATAGATACCCGTGAATGTTTGTTCATAGTCATTCCTCAATTACACGAATCAAAGCCATCCACTTTCTGAACAATTTCCATACTCCTTATCTACCTTGACTCCCGTTGGTCAAACTGCTGCCCGTTTCCTTGTTCATGCCTACAGATCATTCTGCGGCGAACATCGCGCCCCATCAGAATCAACCCCTACTGAAGCCCTGACATTGGTATGCATCAAGCGTGCAGGTTCTAGTGGACCAAAGCAACATCCGAGACAATGCTTGGATTGCGAGATTCTCAATCGGCACCTGTGCAAACATTCCGTGTTGCTTGCTTCACTGTTAACCAGGCCGAGAGGTCCGTTACCGACAATGATGCCAGCCTCCGACGCTTATTCATCCACCTCACTCGTCGCCCCCCCTCTTCATAGCCGAAAGCAAACTTATACTACATCTACGACCATTGCGCCTCCACTTGTCTAGCAGCATCGACTTGCCTGTGATGCATGCACGGCATCCCTGATCGGGGAGGGGTTCGGTCCGAAACGCCGTTGGCTCATATTCCCACACGCGACTGCAGTCTACCCATGCGGCGATCATCCATCTTTCCACCAACCATGTCTATAACAACAATGGCAAAAGGGCAAAAGGGCAAAAACATACAACAGCGGGGATTCGCTGGTCGTCACCGACCCAACTACTAATCCGCCCCTTACCAGCTTATCTATGGGAGAGCGGACGGGATCCCGAGTTCTCTGGTAGGTATGGTCGTATGTGATAAAGGGTGGTGTTCTTTTGGCTCATATCATTGGGCTGTAAGTCGAGGGCAGAGTCATTGGCTTGCTTGTGCCTTGGGAGCCAAAATTCGGAACTTGGCGGAGCTCCTCAGACTGCCAGCCCACATCGTCTGTCTGTCTAGTCGTAGCGCAGAAGCACGCTCAACTCGGACACGATTTCTGGCCAGCCTTTGTTACATCAAGAAGGAACATGTAGTAGATCAAGTCAACCCCGTGTTTTTAATTCTAGTTCTATGAGAATTATCGCTGGCTTTCTGATACGCTCTTCCAGCGCCTGCATCCTCGGAGAGGTACAGCTTCAGCCTTTGGATCGTTCCAAAATCGAATCTTGTCTTGATCTCAATCAACCAAGACAGCCTCTTCCAAAGTTCTTGTAACACCCCCCTCATTAATCATCGCATTCAAAACAGCCCGCCAAATCGAAGAAATAAGGACCAAGGTAGAAGGCAGGCGGATTCACCTGGGCCTGGGTGCCCGAGTACAGGTCGCAGCTAGTGTCGTACGAGTCGAAGGACTTGCAACGACAGTCACTGGCACAGGCATCGGCGCAAGCTGCCTGATCAGCTACTGTGGGCGAACCGATTAACCAAGACGCGTCGATCTGCCATGGTGCGACCTGGAATGGAATTGTACAAGCGCCGCTCTTTCCGATGACATGGGTGCAAGCAACTGTACATGCGGCCTCCGTGGTGGTCGTTGCCGCTGCTGTGGTAGTTTCAGCCGATGTTGTTGACTCGAAGACAGTGGTCGACTGCTCCTCCGTGGTCGATAGGGCTGTCGTGGATGATAGAGCCTCGGTGGTATCGGCGTCGGCAGTGGAGAGTGTCTCAGTGCTGGACAACACGCCCGTTTTCGTCTGTGTCTCAGTCGATGACAGCACTTCTATTGTGGTGAATGTACTCGAGAACGAGATGGTAGATGACGATGCCAGCGATGGCTTGCAGGGACCGGCATAAACACCAGCCACAGCCAACACCGTAGCAATCAGCGCGTTTAGGGATCGGGGAGCCATTGTTAAGAATGACGTGAATAGATCAGAGTGACATGCTACCAAACGCGGCACTTTTTGTATTCCATCCAGGGGCTGTTTTCTTCGACAACTGGTAATTTCCTCACTTCGGAGCCCAATGCGAATGTGGCTAGTGTTGTGCATCTAAATAATGCTAAAAGGCCAAGATACGAACATTGGTCTCAAAAGTTTCTCTTAGCTCAGGTTTAGATGTGGTGCTTAAGAACCTAAGATAACGGCTAACTTAACCCGTGACAGTCGAACGCTAACAGCAGCCATCCGAACCCCATTGTCGGTATTGTTCGCGGGGGAACAGAATTTAAATCTGATTGTGTTAGACTGAACCTGAACTGCACTCCAAATCTACGACAATGCTGGCTAATCTGAGACTGGTGGCTAAGTTCTGTCTGCTGATTCAAGCTCTCGGCCACGAGCCTCAACTGCAAATAAACACATCTAGCTAACAACTTGAGGCTGGTGGCTGTTGTAAAGTCTCAAGATATTACATTAGTCCTATACTGTCTCCGAGAATTCCCTGAAGGGTGCCAGAGCTTCCAAATATTCTCTGGATCTTGAGAAAATTGAGTCGATTTATCTTGTGAATGTCATCAGTGATCAACACCAAAAAAGGGGACAGGATTGCCAAATATGTATGCAGGGCAATGGCTCCTCTGTTCCAAAGACCTTGTTGTGAGGTATTTGACCCGAAACGCTGGATAGAACTTGGCGGGATGCTTACGCTGAAACTGCCGAAACCGGCCAATCATCATGATATATCGGATTGCCGATGCGTCACTGTGTAACTGGTTGCCTTGTTTGCTGAAGATATGCAGTTTGCAAACCCCTCATCTCACCCTCACCTTTCCCACTTGCTTTTGATGTCTCTAGAAAGTTGGCACTACGAACTCATTTACGCAGCATGGAAGGCGAACGACTTCTTGAAAAACTATGGCGCGAGCCTACAGAAGAGAGCTTAAAGTGCTTGCAGTGTCAGAAGTCGTTCAAAGGGAGCCCTCTTATTCGTACATTCCGCATTGAGCAGGCAGGCTCCCGTCGCCAAGGTTCAAGCGCCGTTGTGTCTACATCCCTAGGCGATAAACGAGCTCTACAAAGACAAGCGGACTCCAGAAAGACTCAGCTCAGTCATATCAGTCTGCAACTCCAAGTACTTCAAACGCGTATGGACCGCCATGGAGTTCATCAGAAGTGAGCGTGTCAGAATGATGATCAGCAACTACACTTACCTCCCCGACCTCGACGACCCTGCATTCCTGGGTCAGGTCTTCAAGGCCTGGAAGGACGAGGTTCACCAACATGAAAAGGTGCATGATCTCGAAAGAAAGGTCCAGATGGGCAAGAACCAAGTCCCATGGAGTCTCGGTACACTGAGACAGGCAAAGTTACTGAAGAGGATGAACTTTGCCATGGCAACTGCTCTGCTTTGCAAGAGAGGGTGCAGAGACCGAATGGACTTCCTCCATGCATTGAGAAGAATAGTTCGTGTAAGGTCCTTCAAACCAAACAGTTTTGATTTTAAGACGGAGTACTATCGAATTGCGTGGGAATGCCTCAAGGTGGGAGACTGCTCTCCGCTGTTGATTACACCTTTTATGGGAGCTATCGAAAGACGAGGTCCATACCACTGGTCTGAGTTTGGCTATAGTGACGTTTTCACTTGGCAGTTGGGACAGGAAGTGAGTCCGCCAACACTGGGCAAATACACAACTTTGGATGATTCGGAGCAACGTGTTACTCTTCATGTGGAACAAATTGGAGCAGTTTCGATAGTAGGCAGACCAGAGAAAGGTTCGATGATACAAGCCTTCTCGTCTGCTGCGAAGCTAGCTTTTTTGGAGATTGATGGACCAGATGTCAAAGACTTTATTACAGCCCTGGGAAGAACTCATACAGGGAGTGCATCAACCACCATGGAAATCCTGGAAGAGAAGAATGAAGTGAATCGTCTACAGGGAGTTCTGAACAGGCTCTACAACAGCCCAGAAGTTCCCACCTGGCCATTGGATGGTAAGGATAACATCAAATGGCTCGCAGACGTGCTATCATTCTCCAAGCTCAGACCTGGCGATGATCAAACTGTGCTGGGAGACAATGCAGCCAGATTCGGGACCATCCACTGCAGACCGTATGATTACACCGTTGGTATCACTTGTATCGGTTGTGGTAGGATGTTCGCACATAAGGTCGGGAGTTTCGTCTTGCCAACGGAGCTACGGAACGCGAAAGCATATCGTATTCCTGGCCTCAAGTATTTATGCTCCGAGAAGGACGGTTTAGGAATCTTGATTCAGGGGGATAAGATTGTTGGAAGAATGATATGGGCCACGCCCGCTTGTTCATGTAGGAAGACAGAAGTGGTAACCCTGAGGATGCCAGAGTTTTTCTTACCCAGCGCGTTTTCAATCAACTAGCCATATGAATGGTAAGTCAACCGGGAAATTGGGCAGATGGCGTAAGAAAAGGTGTTCTGGAATTAGTATGAGACGTATAAATTTATGAATAGGTTCAGTATTCCTATGGTACATAGTCTATGATTTAGATTAAGATGCCATAAACACATCATAAACGTCTACTCAAGTAAACCTGAGTTCTATCAGTTAAGATAAGAGCTTGAATCAGCACAGAGAACTTAAATCCCGAATGTTATTACTTGTCAATCCAGATTCATCACTTGATTCAAAACTACTATACTACAAAATTTTATACATGATGCTTATAGAATATTTCGGCACTATGAAGGAGCTTATAACGAGGCATCAAAGCCTTTTAAGTTTCTCAGGGGTCTGACGCAGGTCATAGCAATCACTCAGTTCTGCTGAAATAAGCTCCCAGCCACAAGCCTCAGAACCTAGACTATCATATGATGATGTTTAGATTGAGGATGCTCCTAATTTCAAAGATGCTTAGGGCCATTTCAGCGGTTTCATGTAAGTCCGCCAACTTGAACTTTATGTCGGCGCAACCAAGTTGAAACGTAATGCTAGCTGAGATAAAAACACCTAGATCGAGTATTTGAGAAATCTTTCCAGCTCCGGTCTCCAGTCTCGCACAGGATCATCAACGCCCAGACCAATGCCGTGTTTTCCGTCAGGTAGTACAACTACCTGAGCCTTTCGGCCATGCTTAGCCATCGCATTTGCATAGAGATATGTGTTTTGAACCGGGACGAGTTCGTCATTAGAAGTATGGAAGAGGAACGTCAGCGGGGTCTTGTCCGAAACCCGGTTCTGCACTGATAGGCTTTCGATCTGTTTGCGGGTTGGGTTGCTTCCTAGCAAGTTATATCGTGAGTTCTCGTGGGTGTAGTCGTCCTCCATGGTGATAACCGGGTAGCTCAAAATACCAAAGTCGAGCTTTGCCTTCGGATTCGTGAGTGTTGTTCCTGCGAGATGGCCGCCGGCTGAGAAGCCCATGACACCCAATTTCTTGGTTCCAGGGCTTTGCTTTCGAATGAGCTCGATAGCAGCCAGGGCTTCGTCCATAGGTGTCGGATACAGTGGCGGAGTTTTGATACTGGCCGTTGTATAGTTAAGAACCCATGCGTCGATGCCAAGGGTGCTGAGGTACTCTGCCGGACCAAATCCTTCGTAGCTGATAGACATCACACTATAGCCACCACCCGGGCATACCAGGACACCAACACCAGTTGAGTTGGCGGCCAGAAAGGCTGTGAGTTGCTTGGGGTCTAGCCTAAGTTCAGAATTAGCACCAACGGCCAAGGTATAGACTTGGGAGTTGAACTGACTTCATTGTGATACTTGGGGAATCAATCTGGTCTGACATGGTAAAAGATCCTTTCAAAGGGTTCACCGGCCATATAAATATGTAAGTTCAATTTACCCGGATCAGCAGATTCCACGAGCCTTAAACCCAGATGCCGTGGATGAATTCTGGAGACACCGGCGGGGAAGCTTAAAACGTTACTTCGGACTGTGTTGACCCGATGGCATGGGTGGCAAGCTCGTCTTTTCTGGGCATCAATGCCGAGGCCTCAGGGAATCTGGGGTAGAGTCCACCAATAAGAATAGTCACTCGGCGGGAAAAGGATGATCTCCCGGATGAATTACATGGCTATAAATCACCACCAAGTCATACACCCTTCATCTATGACACCTATTCTATGCATATGGCCATCCCTAAGTAATGGAGAGGCATCAGGGAGTAAGAAGACAAAAGCCTCTAATACAGGATGCTAATAACTCAATAAAGTATCCCGTAAGCTTAGGCTCAATTGCCTAAATATTTTCATCGCTTAAGGTTAAGGTCCCGAGTCTTATTGCCTCTTCTAGACAAGGTTCTTAAGAGAAGAAAAGAGTATATAGATTTAAGAAGGATACATAAATCTTACATATTAGAACGGCTTTGCCGCTGTAACGATTCATCACCTGACAAAGCTTTCGTGGAGCGGGGACTTGCATTTAGCCGAACAGACCTCGAGCATTAGTCGCTCGGATAGCGTTCGCCTTTTGAGGATCCGGGAATACCTCTTCAACATCCTTATCGAAAGCAGCAGCATACTTGGCGGCTGATGACATGGGCGTGAAGACAGTGTCAGATCCCCACATGATTCTGGTGTGATCGACCCATCGAAGCAGTGCAGGGATGGCGAAATTGACAGGCCAAGGTCCGGCAAGGTCAAAGTAGAAGCTCTTGGAGAGAGTCTGCTTCATGGAATCCTCCGTTAAGTTGAGACCAGGGTAGAGAGCGCTGTAGGTGACAATGCGGTCCAGGGTTGGGATCAGGCCACCACCGGCATGGGACATAATCCACTTGAGGTTGGGGAATTTGGTCGGTATTGACGTGTAGAAAAGGTCGGCAAAGGTGCGCGCTGTCTCGAAAGGGAAGTCCAAGGTAGGAGCAGCGAATTGTCGCACGGCGACTGGGCGGTTGAGAGCCTGCCACTGTTGCTGCGAAATGGAGGGAGCAGTCTTGTGAATGTCGAACCGCATCTTATTGAACTGAGTGCATGGGGTGGTAGGGTGCTCAAAGATAGTGACGTTGAGCTCATTGAGCGCGTCGTAAATGGGCTCAAGATCACGGTCACCGAGGTACAGCCCGTAGTAGTTGGACATCATGACGATCCCATCAGGTTTAGGGTTGAGTTGCTTGAAGACATAGTCAATCTCTTTCAAGGAAGCCTGAATGTCAGGCAGCGGAAGTGAGGCGAAAAAGCCAAACTGCTTGGGGTATTTGGCCTTGACCTGAGATCCATACTGGTTGACTCGGCGGGCCAACTTGATGGCTTTCTTCGTAGCATCCTTGGAAGGAACATTGAGGTAGACCCCAGGACTCGAGATAGACAAAATAGACTTCTCGATATTGTTTTCCTTCATGAATTGCAGATGAGACTCGGCATCCCATTCCTAGTGATGTAAGTCTATGTCTTTCTCATGAACTGGTTATCGGTGCAGCACTCACGGGAGTAAAGGGCATGCCATCTGGGCCAGGAACATGCCCGGCCTCTTTCAAGGCCTTTGCATAGAAATCTGGAACAAAATGAGCATGAACATCGATCTTGGCTGACTTTTGGGGTGATGGTGTACTGCGGCAAGCAGTGACTGCGAGAGAGAAACTAAAGAGTGACAAGAATTTCATACTGAAAAAATCAAGATAAAAATGAGTATCAAAAGGAGTGTAAAAGAGAGTGCTGCCAGGAAACGAGATAAACCGTTAGCCCTGGGATTGTTACTTTTATTTATGCATGTTCAACAATCTCGGGAGCCGAGAAAAGTTTTGAACGTCTATTTTGAGTACAAAAAGTCTTAGGTCAAGTAAAAATAAGTTAGTATCAATTTAGTAGACCAGAAATTGGATATTTCTGGCACCCTGTGTCAACGTCAGCAGTTTTATTGGCTTTGGAGAGTACCTATGGATCGAGTGGGAAAGTTGGAAATTGGTATCGGCATCAGGGACGTGACAGAATCCAACGTTGCAACCCGACGATTGTCGGGCAAGGTTTCTGAATATTTCCAGTCTGTTTTATTGGTTAGATTTCAAGATCATAAGCACTAATGTTCCCTCAATGCGACTCTTGGACTGTGCCCCCAAATTACAGTGGGTTTCAGAGGATTTTCGGATTGTTTGTTTCTTATCTTAGCGGTCATTCCTTATCTAAACGACAAACCCCCCAGCGGCCGAACAACACGCTAATGAGCTTTTACCCTGACCCTGTCAACGGCCTAATCCAAGGGACCTGTCCAAAGCTCAATGAATCTGCCTTGATTAGTTCAGAGCCAAAGAGTGTTGTATTCATTCGATGTATCATCAAGGTCAGCCTGTGCAAATGCTAACAGATTTTTACTTGAGAGGAAGAGTATTATCAAGTCTCCTGGTAAGCTAGTCGACTGTTACGCGCTGCCGCAGTTTCACCATACGCGCTTGGTCCCAGAAGAATCGTCCTCGGCTCCATGGCTCATAGGCTGTATCGCGGGAGGGATAATACTCCAGGCTGAAGTGTTCCAGATTAGACACTAACCTACCACAAGTGTCTGAAATATAATTCGTGCCATCTCTGCAGAACCACATAAAGCTCTTGACAACGAACTGGCGAAGTTCATCATCAGTATACTTTTCTGCGACGGTGAGGCAAACGTAACCCTACAGACAGAGCAGAGCAATGTAACGCAGCTCCTCATCTCGAGTCCTCGTATGGAACCTGGCTATGTGTGCAAGTTCAGAGCCTTGAGGTTCTGAATCTTGGCGTAATTCCTCAAGCTCGAGTTGTCGATCAACACGCCGTATGAGGTTTTCGTAGCATTGGAATATGAAGCAGAAGATGGACAGGCAGGCGCCGTTGAAGCTGTTGTGAATAAAGTATCCCTCTGAGAAGGAATCTTTGTTATAGGTTGGCAAGAGCATAGCTTGATGTAGCTTTGTCTCATGCAATAGGCTTTTGTCGTAGACAAGATGGTGTCGCTTGCATTCGAAGCCAAGGGATGCTTCCCGTAACCGCCTTAATTCGCCGTCAGTAAGGTCCACCGTTTGGTAAGGCTCGAACCTCGACACGCCGGCCCGTCGATATATAAATTCCCTAGCACAGTCGTCTTGGATCTTGTTCCAAGCGTGTACTGAGTACCTTGAGATGAATCGGTCGATTTCATTGTTAAGGCTGGTCATTTCGCAGAGTAGCTTCAAATTGCACCAATCCCCATAGAAGTCTGCTTTGCATACTTTATGTTTCGCTTTTGCGGGATCTAAGAACGCCAAGTTTCGCAGAGCTAGGCGTAAGCGACAAACGCGAACGTCATATCCGAATATCTTTTCGATTGGAAGTCTTCGGTCAAAGGCCCGTACGGCTGCTTCCGAAACACGTTGACGGTATTTCTGGAGTAGATGCAAGGCTCTGGGGTAAGAGAAGGCGAACGCCCTTATACTGAAAGGACACTCCAAGCATTCCATGACCATGAGAAGTATTTCGGTTGGAAGACTACACAGAGGCGATGTCAAGTTCATGTTGATGGGTGAATATGACAAGCGGAACTGCATGTTGAAAGTGGGAGAAAAAGCGAGAGTGAAGGGCACAAGGCACCATGGGGGTATTTATATACTTGTTATTCTGACAAGGTTTGAGATGCAAACGCTATTTTACCTTTGCCGCCTCTTGAACTCAATAAATGTAGCGTTTAGTCACAATTGAAAGAATAAGATTTGCCCACATTGAACTATGCTAGAGAGAAAGATAATGCTTGTCTTGAAATGCAGAAACATCTATGGGGATGACTGCGGCCTGTAAGGTTAAGCTTCAGGCTGCGAACACAGATGATGAACGATAACACGATAAAATCCAGAAACATAATATGGGGTATGTCTAAATATCGGGAAAGAGAATTAAGAACATGATCGGATAGAGTCAGGCAAAATCGGCTTTATCCTTTGCCTTGCCGACAATCTCTTGGTTCATACCTGATCAGGCCATTCCAAGACTCCCCTTACCCGTCGTCCATGTGCGTTGGGCTTATTAAAACACGTCGGGAGTCGGGTAAGGGGTTGTCAAGTATAGACGAGCATTAGATTGTATAAGAACTGCAACATGTTTATACAAATGAGGTGAAGATAGCCTTCCGTGCCGTTGCGGATCGACGGATGGACGGGACGGAAGTTAGATGCGTTGCATGGCTGAGAGCCACGAAACGCCAACAGGGTCCCTTAGTGTGAATCATTTCCCAAGAGGTCAAAACTCAAAACTGCGATTTGCTAATGGTAATGTCTTCGAATCTCCTATCACTCCAGGTCAATTGTTTCATCTCGGGACTTGTATAAGTGAAACCAATCAGTATCAGACACAACATCTGTTAAACTGCATAATGGATAACGTATCATTATCTACGACTGGAAAGATATGATAAGTTTCCTATCTGCGACCTGAGTTCACTAAAAAGGACCGAAGATCGGGGTCGTATGCACGGTCTCGGGATTTATGTAATAAGGCGTATCACCCAATGCCCTTTTCCAACCATCACGTCAGGCCCCATTGGGCAACCCACCGAAGTCGCTCCAGCGATTGGCCCTAGCACTTCCGCAGTGGGTACGGAACGTTATCACCAAATTTTCACCTTCTCTCGCTCTGCAATTGATTAGTTAGACTCGTTGGATCAGTGAATTTTCCATGCTTCCGTCCGCGGGGTAATATCTGGGGAACCCCGGATGCTCACTCATCACAGCCTGCATAATTGGTTTATCTTCATCTCCTGGCTCGGCAGATGCGCTCCCGATGCCCGGGACCAGTTTCTCAATACTGGGTCTGGGGGCGAGCGAGAGTGGGCTGAGTATGGAGCATGAGTCAAAGTTTTACGTATAAAGACGTGTCCGGCTGCTGTTCTTTTTATTTTGCGGATCCCTGCTTCAAGCAACACATCATCATGAATAGTTATAACATCAATTCGACTGTTGAGGAGGGCAATGACTTGGCCCTTACTCCCTCGCAGTTGAATAAGCCCGACAATGAAGCTTCGTTGCATCACGATGCTGTTTTTGGTGAGATTTCGGATGAGGGTCCTGACTACAGGAGCGTAAGCAGATTTTGCGACGGAAAATGGCATGATTCACAGAATTGACGAGTTCTTCCAGGTCGGACTCATCGGTACCGCTGGGTTGATGATGAAAACACAAATCGGTCTCGGCGTCCTCTCGATTCCAGCGACATTCAACGCGCTTGGCATGATACCCGGCATTATCTGCCTGCTGGCTGTTGCGGTTATAACAACTTGGTCCAATTGGATCGTTGGTGTCTTCAAACTGCGACATCGCCATGTTTACGCCATCGACGATGCTGGAGAAATGATGTTTGGAGTCGTAGGCAAGGAGTTCTTTGGCTTCGCCATGTGGATCTGTAAGTTGCGATGTCCATCATGAATAGCGAAATGCTGATTTGGTACACAGACTGGGTCTTTGTATCCGGCGCTGGCATGCTCAGTCTTTCCATTGGCCTCAACGCTGTATCTAGCCATGGAGCCTGTACAGCTGTCTTCGTCGCTGTTGCAGCTGTCCTAGGCTTTGGTCTCTCAAGCATCAGAACCCTTTCTCGCATGAGCTGGCTAGCGTGGATAGGTGTCATCAGCATCATGATCTCTGGTGAGTTCCACATCGAACATTGAGATTCATACCTAATGTCTACAGTGATCATGGTCACCATCGCGACAGGTGTCCAAGAGCGACCAGCAGCAGCCCCCCAAGACGGCGTCTGGGTCTCAGACTACAAGCTCTTCAACAAACCCTCCTTTGTCCAAGCAGCTTCAGCAATTTGCTCCCTTATCTCGGCATATGGCGGCACTCCAGGCTTCTTCGCTATTGTTGCTGAGATGCGACGACCCGAACAATACACGAGAGCTCTGACCATCTGTCAGGCCATCGTGACCGTGACCTACCTTACGATTGGTTGCCTGATGTACTACTTCTGTGGATCTTATGTATCCTCACCTGCCCTTGGCTCGGCTGGTGATACCATCAAGAAGGCCAGTTACGGTGTCGCTATTCCAGGATTGATCGTGTCGATTACTCTTGTCACTCATGTATGAATCGTATCCCTCATTACTTCTACGTCGCTAACGAGATACAGCTTCCCAGCAAGTACATGTTTGTTCGACTCTTGAGAAACACAAAGCATCTGGCTTCCAACTCCGCGGTTCATTGGAGCACTTGGCTAGGTTGCACATTCATCGTGTCAATCATTGCCTACATCATCGCCAGTGCTATACCCATCTTCTACAGCCTTATCTCCTTGATTGGAGCGCTCGTCGGTACTCTCCTGTGTTTCCAGACCATGGGCTTCATGTGGTTTTACGACAACTGGGAGAAGCGCGCTATTTCGCCTAGGTGGCTATCCGCTTGTGGATGGAGTTTGTTTGTTATTGCTTCTGGCACCTTATTGATGGTCGCTGGTACTTATGGATCAATTGTCGATATCATCGACGCATACAAAGCAGCTGGAGGTTCAGGGGCTTGGTCGTGTGCTGATAATTCCAACTCTTCCTGATGCGGATGTTGGAGTTGAACAGCTTTTCTAATATGATGACTCTTCAGAGCATATTCATGCTACTTGCTCGTATCCCTGTGAAATGGTTCATGGTCTCTTCCCTTCTACCAACCCCTCGACGTGATGTAATGTAACGATTCTCACGCCTTATGCAATCCCAGGGCTGAAGCCTCTCTTAACCTCCTGACCTTATCAGGATGCAAACAGGAACGATGGCCAGCAAACATCTTGTGTAGCCTAGTCACGTGGTGCTTATGTGACCATCACACCTCAATCTTTGTGTTCTGGCCGCGTCAACTTATCTCAATCAACGACCATGGTCAAACACTTGCTTGACCATCGTTGAGCATCATGTGGACATCGAAGTCCAAAGAGATCGCTGAAGATAATATGGCGATCATCACACGATTAGCTAGCTCCATCGCAGGCTGAAACCCCGTCGGTGAAGATGCCCAACGACGGGCTTAAGCAGCAACAGCATTTCCCCAAGGTTTAGGCATCAAATTTCAAGCACCGGCAGCTAAGAGCAGCACCAATATCTCTGCTTCACCTTGCGAAACCAAACACGCCATGAAGTTGCCTGTTTGGCTTTGCCGAATGATTGTTGGGATAGTTAATAATAATATATTTATTCCAGATCTTGTCTATTACATATATATACGTTAGGCGCTACCTCATCATAGACAGCTGCTCTACGTGACCCTGGATTCGAACGTTTTTGTCATCCCACAAGCCAGTTCCTTCACCATACGACTCTGAGATTGTAATGTACTTGTCGCGCTGCTCTTCTAAGGTCGGAAGTAACTCACCATCGCGCACCCACTTCTCAAACGTGAAGCGGGCATTTCGAGATGGTAGATCCAAGAAGAACTTGTTGAAGTACTTCAAGCCGGTTCGTGGGCTGACGCTAACATCAGAAGCCCGGCTCTTAGGGCCAACTGGCAGCATTTCATGCCGGCCATTCGGGTGCCAGACAGAGGCAAAAGCTATCTTCGACACGCCATCTGGAGTAGGTTCCATACACCACGAAATAAGGACTTCTCCAGTCTCGAGATAAAACCAAAGGGCATAATAACCTTTGCCAATATGGAAGTTACCCCATTGCCTTTCGAACAAGGCATATGACTGTTCAGTGTCGATCTCCATTTCCTTTCCATCAATAACAAGCTTGCCTGTTAGACGGGTTGTAGGGTTGGCCTGGGAGGTTTGTCAGTCATTAACTGGCGTCAGATACTTGACTTGCTACTGACCCAGTACCAAGACCATCCGGCCAGTGAGGTAGAGCCATCAGGGTCCGGTCCCCGATTGACAAGCTGTATACCACCGCCACCGCCGTAGTAGAAGTTACCACCGGTAGGCTGTAGAGTGACGTCCAGCTTTATACCAACAAAATCAAGATCGAGATGGGTATTGGTCCATTGATCACCGTCCTCGGGACTAGTGATGTTCTGTGTGGCGCTCTTTAGCTCCAGGCGGTTGGGGTTTCCCGAGCCAGGATGAAGAATGGAGGCTCCTCGTGAGGTAAGATCCTGAAGGTGATTAAGGGAAATAAATGTTCCAAGAAGTTGGGATCCTCGCAAGCCTGCGTTGCTCGTCAGGTGGTATTTATTCCCACATTTGGTGGTGATCCAGTAGAGCATAAAGACACAGTGGGGATTTAGTATCAAAGCCTTACGGTGGAAGTAGGGTTCGCTAACTTGTTCACATTGTTGGTGTCTTCCGTCACGTATGCCAAGGTCTTTCGAGCGTCGTATCTATTCACAAGTGTCTATTTGGTGGTCAGTTGATCGGAATGTAGGTCGCAGAGCAAAGCCAGCTAGTTAGGAGGACCAGCCCCATCGTTATCTATCGTGGTAGGGTCATACTCCGGAGGAGCCCAAGACATGGGGGTCGTCGGCATGTTTTCCAAGGCGAATCAAGTGACGCGGAGTGCTTGAAGGAGTCGTTTCGATGTAATTCCTAATGTCGTAGTCGTAGTGGACTGATGCAGGTGTGTCCCATGGTAGTTAACGTTGTATTTATGCCCCTTACAAGCGCCGACTTAGGTAGTAGGACTTCGGGTTATCGGGCTGTCGACGGACTCGTCTAGCATTCCGTGACCGTCTTGGCTGAAACGTAAGTATTGGATCCATATGTCTAGGTCCAGTTTGTGACTCTACTTAATGCACTGAATTGGAAGAATTTGGCGTGCCTGTAGATCACATCAACCTATCCCTTAAGAGACCACAAGGCACCAGGCAGGTAATTTCAGTGAAGCTAGCTCTAGTATTAATTAGCTGCTAATTAATATGCTACTGATACCAGCCTTAAGGTAGCTGTTTAGTAAGGCTAAAAGTATCGATCTATAGAGTGCATTATCTAAGATACCTAGGATTATATGAGATTTACTACTAATAAAGGGTATCTTTAATATTAGCACTCTGATTGGGCGGGTACTTTGCTGGTGTCTTACAGGCTGCAGGGGCTAGAAATGTACTATTGTGCTGTACAAAGGCTACTACTGAGGATCTAAGAGGTTAAAAAGAGGTTATTCCCACCTTTTAAGATATCCTGATTTGTCGCTGGGGGTCTTAAGATAGGTACAGTCCGCAGGGGTTACAAATGTCCTATTCCGCACTTTAGCTTTGTACCGTGCCCCACAGCGGAAGAGGTTCTATTACCTCTGATTAGCTGAATTTCCTACTAAGCAGTCACGCCCATATTGATAACAGTAGTATACCCATAATATTTCCACAGTAGCAAAGTACCGGTCAGGACATTTGTAACCCCTGAGGACTGTATCTCTTAACGTACTGTACTTACTACTCAGCTATAAGTCCCTCTAATTAGAGGTACTGGCACGTAGTGATCTACAATGCACGATACATTTCTAGCCCCTGCAGCCTGTATGGTCTCTTAAGGGATATGACTCGGTCAGGTATTGATGAACGAATAAGAAACGAATATCTGTTGCAGATCAGCGGACTAAGGTCGGAGTATCTTGAGTAGCACAGGGCACAGACCAAGGCCCATCTGACGGACTAAGATCGGAGAATCTGAATGTACTCCATGCTAACCCCAAACGGCAGCAATGCTCGAACTTTTGTCGTACATTGTGTCATATACATAGGTACCTTCAGGTGTCTAGGAAATAAGAGTGACACTTTCGGTGGTGATCACACCTCAGAATTCTTGATTATTTTCCTGACCTGAGGATAGATCTACAGAAACGCTGCGTAAGTGGGTAGTTGGTATCCACGGTTCTTACCCATCCAATACTACCATAAACTCGAAGCTTACTGCTATGCGCCCTCCTGTCAATATGAGATCAAACGTGTCACAAAGTAGATCAGTACATAAGGCCTCAACTGTCTCAGCGACCTTCTAAGACCATTCCCTCAATCCATCCCGTTCCCCAAGATTCATGTTCTTATTGGCTCGCGACGACCATGGCAGCCAGCTTCATCATTTTCGGTGGCCTTTTATGTCTTTTGGTACGTTATCGTGTGCAAATAACAACTTTGATGACAGTTACTAATATCACGTCAACTACAGGGGGCTATATGGCTTCTCAACATCATTTACCGCCTTTTCTTCCACCCGCTTGCAAAGTTCCCAGGTCCCAAGTTGGCAGCCGTTTCTGACGTAGGTTACCTTTCTCGCACCCCGCGCATATCCTAGGCTAATTTGAGTCCTGCTAGCTCTGGTACGGCTTGAAATGGACATCTGGTCGGTATCCATTCATCATGGAAGAGACGCATCGCAAATATGGTAGGTAACCCTCCTTTCTCGGCCTTATCGATTTATCTCAACGCCCATATATCGTCTGGCCCTTTAAGCCATTTCCCAAATATGAGCTGATTGGCCGTAATTCTCAAGGCGATGTGGTGCGAATAGCCCCCAACGAACTATCCTTTGCTACTGTACAAGCATACCAGGATATCTACGGACATGCAACCAAAGGCAAGAAGAAGTTTATCAAGAGCGACTGGTATGAATCATCAGGGGATCACCCTGGTATAGTCACTGTCAGAGATCCCGCCCAACACTCGAGACAGAGAAAGTATCTGTCCCATGCATTCAGCGCCAAGTCTCTACGCGGTCAAGAAACACTCATTCACAGCTATGTGGATATGTTTATTGGCCAGTTGCGTAAGCTCGGTAATCCTGAGGGATCTGGAATCAATGTTGAGGGGGCCCTTAACTGGCTTACGTTCGATATTATCGGTACGCTTCCTATTTCATATCCTTGCTTCACGCTCTGATTTCCGTTATTCAGGTGACCTTGCATTCGGCGAGTCTTTTTCTGCCGTTGCTGAAGGACGGCCCCATTTTTGGGTGTCGTTGATTATTGATGCAACTTATTTCAAGGTGCTCGCGAGTTTGAGAAAACGGCTTCCGATAATAAATCTGTATCTTCCGTTTGTGATATCAAAAGATTCAGCCCATATGCATCGCAGGCACATGGAATTAACCAGGCAGAAAATGCTGAAACGACTTGAGATGCCTAATTCTGAAGAGCGCGGAGATTTCTTTTCGCATCTATTGAGCAAGGGCGGCAATGATGTTCCGGAGCAAGAACTCTGCGAACAATCGAGCACGCTCATTGTAGCTGGTTCGGAAACAACAGCTACATGCCTGACCGGGATCGTCTATTGCCTCCTTTCGAATCGATCTTGTCTAGTGAAGCTCACCGACGAAGTGCGTTCGCGATTCCAGTCCGAGACTGAGATTACAGGGGACGCCACTGCAGAGTTGAAGTACCTCCCTGCAGTCATTGAAGAAGGGCTGCGGATTTTTCCGCCTGCGCCGTTCGGTCTCCCCCGTATCTCGCCCGGCGCTGCCATCGACGGTCACTACATTCCTTCAGGTGTCGTTGTGAGTGTGGATCATTGGACTACCAAGCATGATGGGCGCTATTGGAAGGAGCCGCATTCTTTCATTCCCGAGCGTTGGATTGACGAGAATGCCTCCGACGTCAAGCAAGCTAGTCAGCCTTTCTCACTTGGTCCAAGATCTTGTCTAGGCATCAACTTGGCGTATCTAGAGATGAGGATTATTCTTGCCAAGATGGTTTATCACTTCGACTGGGAATTGGTAGATAGCGACGTTGATCTGTTTAGGGATGCAAAGCTGTTCCTGTTGTGGAAGAAGCCGGCTTTGATGGTGCGCTTCTATCCCCGTACTTGACAGTCTGTTTGGATTGGGTTGTTGAAAATCATAGTGCATAGTTGGTTCTACCAACTATAGATTATCTTTCTTACTATTGTGTAGCTCAGTTGTATAGAATAGATTGCTGGATTTGTTGTTTGGCAGAAGGATCCTTTGCGGAGTTCGGGTTATTTGCTCATTGCAGAAAACAGCTGTTATAATGGTATTGATTCACATGACGTAGGGGGTCACTAGACTTAACCTAAATAGGTCTAGCCAGAGTTCTTCTTTAGGAACTGCAAACGAATAAGGATCAGAAGTTTCATTACATAAGATAATCTGAGTTCTTGGGAACCCATACCTGCGCCGACCCCGGTGCGACTACTAGCACGTAACCTCTGTACCAGTCCCCTGATTATATGCTTTAATTGGCCAATGCATAGTATGGAAATAACTATATTGATAGCTATCTAATAAAAAGCAAAAGCTTTAGAATTAAATCTTTTATTTTTCTATTTTCTAGACCTAGTATAGAGGTTATATACTAGTAGGTATATGTACTGTATATTAGCTAATTAGAATACATAATCAGGGGACCGGTGCAGAGGTCACGTGCTAGTAGGCGCACCGGGGTCGGCGCAGGTATGGGTTCCCTCAGTTCTTTAAACCAACCAAAAGCGATATTTACTATGGGTTTAGGAGGTGAGGAGCCATCACCGCCTCATGTTTCTCCAGCTGTTCTTAAGAATCAACAACTAAAAAACATTTACTGAACCGCTATGCCTTTGAAAGAGAGCTCAAGAAAAGGCAAGCCCATTGCTAGGCGGGCTTGCGACCTTTGCCGTAGCCGCAAGCTGCAGGTATGTGGCCTTTGGTATCTATCCCCCGCATCATGAAGTTGACATTTGCATAGTGTATCTTCGAACAAACAACCCCCGAGCTGTCTATGTCATGCAAGCGTTGTACACAGGTCGGGATGCCCTGCACCTTTTTGACTGCCCGCAAGCCGCGAGGTCCACCTAACCGGTATCTACCTCTCACAACGGATGTCTGAGGATAAAAACTTGTTGACATGTCTCTTTGTGTAGCCGAGTTGCAGAAGCAAGAGCCCAGATTCACAGTGCTTATTGCAGCAGTATAAGTGATGAAGATATTCCTCTGAATCATTCTCCAGAAAGTCGGGCATCGACACTCATTGTACCCCTAACAATCGAGCATCTTTGCTCCGAAGAGTTGTTTAGAATGTTGATTTCAGACTACCTCGAGTACCTCTATCCTCTCTATCCCATCGTACATCGACCGCGATTTCGGGTGGATGTCGAAAACAAACGTTACCAGTCAGACCCGAGCTTCTACCGACTATGCATTTCCCTCTCCGCCCTCACGGTCTCTTCTTCGCCACAGAGTTTGCGAGATTACGGGTTTCAGTCTGAAGAGACAGTTACCAGCATAGTAGAAAAGGCCCATCGCTTGATTGTCTTTAGCAAGATGTCGCAGAACCCAGCAATCGGCATATTTCCTGACATGTACGATATGCTATGCTCATATATACTGAGCTTGGCTTTTCATTGCTCAGGTAATACGTACCAGGGATGGGTGCACGCCTCTGAGGCGGTCCTGTGTATGAGAAAGCTAAGCTTGTTCAGGCAAGCATTTCATAATGATCTGGACCAGATAGACTCCGAAATATGCAAGCGAGCATTTTGGTTAATATTTATCATAATGGCGTATGTTACACCTTCTGTAGGGTTCCTATATGCCCTCTATTTTCAGCTCACTAATTCTAGTAGACACGACAGACTTGCGTATCCCGTAGCCCACACCGGTATCAGTTATAATCCGGTCTGCATTGATTGGGATTTCCTTGTGTTACAGGAGGTCGATGACGCGAAACAGGGCGACATGGAGCAAAGCGAAGAACCCGGAGTCACGCCACTGATATCTGGGGTCATTGCATCGGTGAAATTATACCTCTGCGCAGCTGCACTGGGGCTGGATAAGCTACCTGGGAACCCGCGCTATGGTCCATTCTCAGCCTCGTCGTCATCAGAGACGTCAAAGGGCCCTGACGCCCAACGGCTTTCTCTTGAACAAGGACTCAACATTGTACACGCTGTGCGAGATGTGATCAACCAGTTACCAGAGGAGTTTAGAATGTTCAATCAGGATGGAAACCCCAACGAAGGTTCCTTATCGTTTGCCATCTCGCGGGCGAAACTACATATAATGAGCCTTTTTATACAAAGTATCATCCTTGCGACACTAACAGCCAATAACCCATCGTTTGAGCAGGACTATCGAGCTGAAGGTTCCACAGCATCTAAGGATCCTCTCCTCTCTGGGAAAAGCCAGAATGCTGAGCACCAGCTGTTCAATCTTCGCAAGGACATCGCTCAGCAATGCTTTCACATTATTGCCGTCACACCCGTCTCTGCTCTGAAAGCGAATGGCATCGCCGTGGTAGGTTTCCCATAGCAGCTGCAGTGGATTGGACTGCTGTCCGCTGGCTCAATGGAAGAGGATGATACAGAATACAGACATATGCTAAGGGCTTTATAGGTTTCAAAGCTTCGGGAGATCACAGCTACTTTATTGAGCTGCAAAGTGGATTCTTCATGTCCTGCTGATGAAGAAAACCAAGTCCAGTCTTATGTCAAACGTCTTATTAGTACTTTAGTCGAGATTGACTCTGTAAAGAATATTTCTGAGGAGTAAAGGGTTTAATCTCATATAATTAAGAAGAGTTCCTGGTAAAAGTACACATACAAGAGGGAGAATAGTAATCGAAGTTTGATCCTCTTAGTAAAAGGTCTTAGGATAGGAAAATGGTGTAAAAAGACTGCGTTTGGCGAAGTGATCGCAATAAAACAATGAACGCTTTCATTCTATATATCTCTATTGTTATGTATCTATGATATCGTATGGAAAAGACAAGAAATGAAACAGACCAGAAGCAAATGCTGAGTCGGCTTCAATATGATGGAGAAGGACTCCAAGACCTGTGCATGATCCTTCAACCTTCCTTTCAGCTTCTTTCGATCAACATCCTGCACAGCAACATTATCCTCGATGGCCAAAACAGCCGCTGCTCCCGCACTCTGTCCCATGATCATATAGACAGGCTCCATACGGATCGCGGACAGAGCAATATGCGTCGCGCTCATTGTCACGGGATTGACAAAGTTGATGGCGTCCTCCCTTCTGGGAACGATTGATCCGTAAGGGACGCTGAATGGTCCAGGGTTGGGAACGTGAATGAGACCTTCATCGTGTATCCGATCGTTGATAACAACTCGTTCGACCTGATGGACGTCAAGGGTGTAGTATCCAACTGCAACGACAGTGTCGTTGTCATATGGTTTCGGGTGCTGAATGTCGGCTTGTGTCATTGTATACACGCCGTCCATCCGCCGAGCCTCGCGAATGTATATCTCATATGGCCAGTTTCCATTATCAGTCCATTCATCTTTCGCGTAGCCCCAGGCACTCGTGTTTTTGCGAATAAAGTCCGGTACATCTTTGTGGTTCGCCAATGTCCAAAGAAGTCCTTGCGCCCAGATCTTGTGCCTTTTCGCAGCAGCCTCCCGCTCCTCGTACGAATACTCAGCATAATTGGATGTCTTGTTGTAACTTCCGCCTATCAGATCAGTACTGATTTGGCCAGCTGCGTTGGTATCGGTTTTAAGATTCGGCATTAGTTGCGTGGTGAAGAATGGCCCCAGATAACCAGTCTTGATATATCGGATCAAGATCTTGTAGTGAGATTCATTGTAGCCATCTGGCTTGAAGAATTCCACCTTGTTGTCATCCTCTGTCGTTAAAGACAATCGGTAGTTGAAGGCTTGAAGCCGATGATCTTTCTTGCCACGCGACTCTAAAGCTGCGAACTTGCTGATCACGCGACCAACCCCAGGAAGCACACCGCTATCAGGATCTTCAGGGTCGTTGTACGGGTCGATGGCAGCCAGTCTTCTGGGCTCGTTGAAGTGAATACCAGCCGCCCACTCATCATACTGCTGCTTGTCTTCGCGTCCCACACGATATGATATGCCTGCTGTCTCCATGAGGTCACCCTCGTAGCCAGCATCAATAAACATCTTCCCTGAGAAAGTTGACCCGGACCGCGTTTTGAAGGATTTGATGACGGTTCCATCCTTCCTCACGCCACTGCTAGTACGAAGGATGGACTCGTTACGAAAGACGGGAATTCCCTCATCCTTGATCCATTTCTCCAAGATCTCCTCTGCTACTTTGGGCTCAAACGTCCATTGAACCTTGTCGCCAATGGCTGGTCCAGGCTGTGCCTCAATATGTTTTGCGAGATAGTCATCTCGTGTCTCACGCGTCCACGCGTCGTTGTTGTCGTAATAGTCGTACACTTTGCCGTAAAACTCCCTGGCAATCCCACCAATGGTATTTCCATCCTTTGAGTCCGTCCAGCCCAATCCCGAAGTAGTAAGACCGCCAATTCGTGATGTCGGAAAGACTAACGTGGCGGTTCTGTTCATACGAACCGTTTGAATGGCAGCTGCGAGCGCGGCAACCGTGTTGCCATAGATGATCACGTCAGATTCATGAGAAGTTGCTGATAAGACGCCAACAGTGAAAAAAGCAATCAAGTAAAGACAGACGATATGTACAGACGCCATACTTGTGAGGATTGCCTAGCTGCTTTACGCAGCTCAGGCAGTAGAATCGTCAAAACACGTAAAATAAGGAGTGAAGGAAGCTAAGTTAGTTAGTAAACAAAATTGCGTAAATTTGGCGCCGGGAAACGGCGCGCATTTTGACTTTGGGATGATGCATTTGCTGACGTGCTTCTTATTTTACTTAAGTGGGGCGGGAAACCGCGGACGGCGATTCCTTGATTAAGGAGTGAGGATCACAATCTACCAATCGGCTGAGTCCGATCAGCACATTGTTCCACTGATTGGCTCTCCAATCTCTCCCCAATCTCACACCGGCTGTCTGCCAAGATAAGGCTGTCGTTATCTCTCCCAATCCAATCCTACCCAAGCAGTCGGTAGTTGTGATAAGGCATGATTACCACTGCTACCCTGGGGTCACACTTGACATCAACGTTTTAAAGTCGTTTCTATGGACTTGTAACTTGGCAGAGTGATGAGGCACGTATCTATGCTCTGACCAAGTGAAGCCGTAGAATAACTATCTTCAGGCAACTAATGGAAATGACAGGTGCTTCCTCGCTTGCTATAAGGCTCAAAAGAAACGGTCTTGCCAAAAGATAGGTAGCCAATAATAATTGCAAAAGACTTATCATACTATGGAAATTGTAAGATACCTTTTATTCTTATTAGCATAACGCCCCCACTACTTCCCGGCCGAACGGACCTTGTAACCCTTGCTCTATATGCCAGATGTAAGTGCAGTCACAGGTTGTATCTCAACATATGGAATGTTGGAAGGCTATTGCATTTGAATGATAAAAGGAAAGCTCATAGACATAGACCTGAATGAAAGATCTTATAATGATAACAAGTGAATATATACAGGGAGTGTGAACTAGGAAAACGGTTCCGGATTTTTTGTCTGTCGGATGAAAAGCTTGGGTTCTATTTAACTCGCAGTTCCCTTGTGATTTGACCATCCGGCTCCATCTAAACCATTTCAATAACCGAACTCAGCGGACTCTTTCTCACTGAAGCAACAGTTAAACGATGTTTCATGCGCAGAACTCTGTCACTTAACTTACGTTGTTACCGATATCACCGCGGCACTTTTCAATGGTGCTGCAGCCACGGTTATAAGGGTTGGCTTCAGCACCAGGACGGCAGTTCGCAGCTGAGGCGCCCTTGACTGAGCAGGGGACATGGTCGCGGTTGAGGGCACCATATGAGATCACATCACCCTGATCGGCTGCAGGAGCTGCAGTAACGAGGGTGATCAGGGATAGTGTGATGATAGAGAACTTCATGTTGCTCGAAAAGAGTTGATAGATGGAGGAGTGTTGTATACTTGCGAGATGAAGAGGCTGCTGGGCGAAAGGAAGAAGAAGAATGGTTATTGAACCTGGTGTTAAGAGATGAATGAGGAGTATATATACCGTAAAGTCTGCCAGCAAGACAAGAAAACACCGGCAAATGAATGTAACTGGTCCATCTTTACGAGGACTTGCAAACCTTGATGCTTGAAACTTCTGGCTAAGAGCATAGTGAGATTCAGATAGGCACTACGCCTGTAGTACGACTTCGGCCAAACCCCAAAAGGGTTGGGAGATTTAGCTCGAGTGGACTAACTAAGGTACGGCTTGTTAAGGCCCCCTTCATATGCCACGCTTAGATATGAGACAGGACTGGAATAAAGGGGAGTCCAAGTCGAGAGACAACTGCTTTCGCTGTTAGGTTTACCAAATCCATCCAGGCGAATGTGTTGCATATTCTATTGACGTTTCACATTGTACGTCCTCGAACGTTGTTTGAACTGAAAGTCTACTAAGGTTCTTTGATGATAATGAGTATATGATAGTCTCTCATGAAAGTCTGGTGTCCTATAAATGAGAGGTTTCCTTTGTCTTCTCACCCCCATAGGAGGCTCTGTTCACTTACACCCAATGTTGCATAATCGGCCCGTTATTTTAGTCGCTTGACTACGATGACCCTTGGTAACTGATCTTATTGGAGACTTTGGCTGTCGATGTATGTATGGAAAATTTCACCAAGCCTCGTACTGGACCCCTGCAAGGTCTCGAACATCTCCTGACCGGGAGCTCGGGAGGAAGTCAACACTGGGGTCCCCTGGGACCTTTGTAAAGCCAACGACTAGGAACTGTCTGGGGAATACTCTCCGCCCCATGAAACTCAACTGCCGAGAAACGCTCGGATGGGGGCTATATTACATGACCACACAGGATTCCGGTATCTCCATGGAATATTGTGCCCGCTTCCAGGTTCACTAATCGATGGTATGCGAAGGAGACTGGAGTCATTGAACACAAACAAATCAACAACGTTCCTTACATAAGGACAACTGAAAGTAGTTTCAGCTGGGGCCAAGTAACATTAACCAATGACTAAGGGTTCTACAGCGCAATGGTAGGTCACTAGCTAGTGAAGCCTTATAGGCCGAAGTGAAAACACTTCGGGGTGGCAGGTGCCATTAGCCATAAATATGCATAACGATCAAGCATCAAGTACGGAAACCGGCACAGCGACGGACCCAAGGTCTTGGGACCCTGGACGTGAGCCTCCCATCTCCTAAGTGAGGATGATTTCTGTGCAGTTAGTCCCGGGAGTATTACCCATTTAAGGCTACAGCGCTATGTCATTTTAGCGCCGCTGATCCCTTACCAATTTCACTAAAACGATTGAGATAATAGGATTGATGGTGAACCCAGTCGAGTTGTTTGATCCAAACACTTTGGGTGTAAGAAAACGGAAGGTACAAGCTTTGAGCTTTATAAAATTAAGTGGTCTCAGGCATCTGCAAGAAGACCTGCACAACCTGTTGCTAAAGCATTAAAGCATCGAGTCTATCATCCTAGATGTCACTTGTCATCACAATAAGTAGGTTCGCAAGAACAAGCCAACAGCAACATGAAATCACGCCATTTTTGTAGGTGAGTCGCACATATCACCTTCAGCTCCCAAGCGAGCCCAACTCTAATTAAACCATCCGCATCATCCAACCGTGGCTTGGGCTTCGAGGATAGGATACCGAAGGTGCCCGGTGCTGCGGCTGAGCTGTGGGGTTACCGA